CGTGCGGTGAACACTAACCGTGCGAAGTTTTCTTCAATAGCGTTTTAGCGCGCGTGTCGATAGGTGCGCGATGGTGGTATTGAATCAGAGGGCCGACATTAAACAGCCGGAATCACAGCCGTTCATTTCGACCACGCTTGGGGTTTCTCATTGCCAAACGGCTTGAATGTCATCGCCTCGTTAGGTTTGTATCGACGAACTCCACAATAGAAAAGCTCCTAGTCCCGCCGCGGGTACTACCATGTCTAAGAATCTATGCCCTTTCGCCGGAATGTCTCCCAAGTTGAGGCGCACACGCCCGGGCATATGCAATCCATAGTCTCTTACGTTTCTCTCGCATCTAGTAGAGAAGCTGCGCCCGTGACCTGTCATGGGCTGTCGTTCTTTGCGCGGGCCCGCGCGGCGCCGCTGCACAGTTGCTGCCTGCAACAGATGCCCGGCGCAAGCGACTCGGAAGGCCGAGACGAGTATACACAAGCAGATATCAAAGTTACAGGGGCAACTTGCCTTAACGGAGAGAGATTGGAGATTCCTGCGACAAGGCAAAGACTCCTTGTTCAGGTGCACATCGGCAACCTCAGAATCGCCCACTAATCTGTCGACTCGGTGAAAAGGACGCGGATACGTATACTGAATTCCGGCAGCAAAGCAACGGCAGGACTCCGCCACAGTGTGCGGTAGCTTTGAATGTTCTTCGAAGCTCCTCGCGGTTTATATTACATGTCCTATCCGCTTGGGTTGATTGATAAAGACGGATCAGAATCGAACAAGAATCTCGAGGACATTTCCGAGGATTGGCCTCAGCAACCTTATCCTGGCACGATCTTTGCCAGCATACGCTTTGAGCAAGACGGCGCACTTCATTGGCCTCTTTGGTGCTTTTGCATTTCTTCCACTGCGCTACCACTCTCAGTTGCTTCTTGATGTGAAGCTCCTAAAAGCACAAACCGTTACTGCAGAAAGGTGCTCAACACATCTTTGAAATGGGACCCGCAGTTTGCGCCGTTGAAGTCGATGTAGCCCAACCCGCTATCCTCAACTTGATCGCTCCTCGCACCGTTTCTGACCGTCCATGCCAAGACGCGTAACGTGCTCTTTCTTTGCCCGAGATATCAGATGCTACCATTCAAGCACGACCCACATGTATGAGCACAGCAAAGACAGTCCCCATCAGCGGGTGCAGCCATAGGCGCCAGGCTGGGGAGGAAATGGAAGCACTGATTTTTTAGTTTGTTGGCTTCATAGTACTTCAGTACGATCTTGACCGGGTCTTTTCCAGGACGCGGCCGGGACTAGACACATCACCGCCCTGCATGCCGCGGTTTGATTTGTTTTGGTTCAAGATTGCCATCAAGATTCTTGAAAACCTTTTCAAAGGGTCAGCACGTTGTCCACTCAGGTGGTCTGAATTCTCAAGGGGATTTTCCTTTCAATCCCTGATGCGTGCGCCGCGTGTCATTCTTCAGAGTTCCGGTATTCAACTCAGTACGACAATCTAATAGGTGCTCAAGATTTTACCCTGGCAGGCATATCGTGCGGGTTCAGACTTAAACCATCGTGAAAAGAAGCTAGCGCTGCAACCGGTCGAGACTCTCCATGAGGTCCAAGTTGACGCTCGGTGCACATTAAACACGGCCTCCTCACGGCCCCGGGCCATCACGGCCCCCGACGATGCCTGTTGCGTTGGGCGACCAATAGAGTTGCCCACCGGCGCCGACACGTCGCCCAACAGAGTCGACGACCGCCTTTAGACGCTTGGTCGCAATTCAATCCTCCCCTAAATTCTGGTCAAATCTGAACAGCGCACCAACCTTGAATCGCCTTGATCAACTATAATTGATTGAGAGGGCTCAGAATACTTGAACGTTTCTTAAACCCTGAAGTGCTAAGACAGCGAAAAACATCTGCTTGTCCTCAATGACGGGCATTGCTCCCGCCAGGAGAAACTAGGTGCGAGAGATTGCTGATAGCTCCTTTGCGTTTTAGCGCGAACAAGAATCAAATCTGGAAGGAGAAGAGCTCTAATTGGACGGAAAGGAGTTAACACAACTCAGAGGAAGTCACGGCTGAACAATGAATTGGAAGACCGGAATCAGAGGCAATCAGATTCGAAACGGTCTGTGGCTGGCCCTGGCGGCTTGAAAGGCTGGGGCCACACCGTTACGTCTCTTCAGCGCCTCGTATCAATGTCGAGTCACCGATCACCGAGGTCTGCAGTGCTTCTTGAACTCAGTAAGAGCTTGAAAGCGGCCCTTCTTTCATATACTTCCCAGAATGCGGAACTACGAAGCGGTTGGATCTAGCTGGAAGTTGCAGCTTCGAAGAGGAATTAAGGGCCCAAAGTTCGGAAGATTTGGACGCGGCTCAATCAACGCTATATACTGTGCGACTACCACTGCCGATTGCGGATCATGATTTGAAGGGGACTCATGACATGTACGGTGGCCAAGGAAGGATTGCTCTTGGTTTGAACTTCGGTGACCTCTCCGTGAGAACGAATTCGCAAAAGCTTTCCCGCGTTACGCAAAAATCTTTCAAACAGAATGTTTGGAGGAGAAGAAGTGGGTCGGCCTCTGAGAGTACTACGTAGTGAGGAAGCTTTGCAGTCGTCAGAGGCAAAGGCCAACTGACGTCATCATGGCCCGAAGAATTTCATATGCCTGTCGCATTGAGAGCGTGAGTCGCCTTCCACTTACCGCTGCAGAAAGAGCACCCTACTCTAATACTGCAACATAATCTAAAAATGGTGTGCAAGCTTGAGTCAAGAAAGTGTACTGAACGTGGATACTTTTCTCGAGCTGAAGGGACTCATCACGCAATTGCCACGAGCCGAGTAAGGAGGGCCGCGGTGGAAAGCAGACGCTTGGTCCAACCAAATCGGCTGCACTTACGAATGATATTTGGAGTGCTGATTGGGAGGCGCGTGCGAAACCAACCAAGAACGTTGACAATTTCAGCAAAGTTTGCGCGCTCGAATCCGAATGTGATAAAGGCATGAAATGATGGAAGTAAAGCGCATCACGGCCAATCAAATCAACCATGATGGCTCTGTCTATCGTTGCCAAACGGCTTCATAGTCTGTAGAGGGTTTGTAAGGTTGGAAGAAATTTTACGATCTACTAGGAGCTCCTCCGCCTTTCATTTTGGCGGGTGAACCATGTGTTAGGATACTCAAGGGAAGTGACCGCCCTACGCTGAAAATATTCCCGAAGGCGACAAAAGCGCACCGGTCCCTAAAAGGCGGGCCGTACTCGTCTCGATAGCCCCTCGTATCAGGTTCCATGATTCCACGATTACCACGATTCAGTGTGCTCGTCAGACTGAGAAAGCGGCTGTTCCTTACATCGCCTCCCTAGAACACAGGAAGGCTGGAATCAAGTTGCATGAAAACGCTTTTAGACAAAATCACGAGCCGGAAGTTGGAAGGAGAGGACCGATCAGCGCGGAATTCAGATCGCGAAGTTGGAACAAGGGAGTCGAGCAGCTGCTGCGCCCCTACCACTATTTGCAGACCGCCGCCGATCGTGAATTGCGCTCCCAAGGAAACTCTTAACACAAAACGGTTGTTATTGCAAGACAAGCCAAAATACGAGATTCAGTGGGCGTCTGCAGGAAATTGCGTAAAGCTCTTGTTGATTTGCATGAGTTGTGATACAGAGAACATCCTTTGCGAGACAGTACGTGATTCTGGCCTCAAGAAACACGGATCTCCCGATTGGCTGTTTGACAGAGCCGCCAAATTACATCATCATGGCCCAGGAATTTTCTAGCTCTAATCTCGTGTAACCAAATCGCACACATACATCAAACAGATATACCGTGTGCCCCTTTTCGAGTCGTAACACGTGCAAACCCCGACGAACAAGGTGTATAGAAATGAACACATATGGGACTGAGGCGACTCATTGAGAGAGTGGCACATGGCTAAGAGGCTCCAGTCTGAACACAAACCATCGATCCAATTGAACCTTTCTTGGGTACGGATTCTCAGATCATTTGCAGCTTAGATCAACTAAGAGCGACTGGTTGCTTTGCAGATTCTGACCGCTCGTTAAAAAGATGCAAATGCTATGGTATCGGCCACTACTTTGACCATGATGGCTAGCTCAATCATTGCCAAGCCATTAAAATGACTTGTATCGGACATAAAATTCAAGGAAACGAGGTCTCTGTGCTTTCGAATTCAAAAAGGATTTAACGACCACGGCAGCATGATCACATTCAGCAATCACAACTCCGTCGAAAATTGCCAAAATCTTCTTTTTTTGCCTCTTTCTGAGTCGGGGCATATCCAAATCTTTCGAAAGCTGACACTCCCGAGAATCCATGGAAAGGTGTCTTCAAATGAGAAGAGTTTTAGGACGGGCTGTGAGCCCAATGATCTGAGATGACTGCAACAAGAGTTCGTCCTGCTTGTCATTAGTGGAAAGGCTGAAACTCTCTAGCCTCTCCAGCTTTGAGCCTCTGGCCGCAGGTTTTCCCGTGCGACCTCGAACTCTCCCTGTGTTTTAGCCAAAGAAAACTTCTGACCACTGACAGCAGCGAATCGTTGCGAATCACAGCAAAACAATTGACTGATCAAGGGAGTGTGCTAAAGATGAAAAGCTGAATCATTTCACTGCATCAAGATGCCGAATCAAGTATTTTGGTTTCTGTTCACTAGAAACGGAACTGCCCATCGGGTCCAACCTTCCAATAATCGGATTGGACCTGAAAAACTCAAGCTGATCCAAGAATTGGAAACAGCCTCCCCCTGCTCTAACGTCCGGTTTGCAAAATGTATTTACCCTCAAAAACAACGTTTGGTTTATCCAATGTGCGCAAATACCTATTTGTATATGCCCAAGTCTCGACCGCATACGCTATCTTCTTCTTCCACAAACGGGGACGGTCCGGAAAAACGGGCTCCTCAGCTTGCTGCTAAAGAAGATACGAACTTTACCGTTGAGTCATTTTGAAGGACCATTAAATCTAACTTTATGTGATCTCCTACTTCTCTCCTACCACCTTGTCGCGCCAAAGCTCGACCCCAGAGCTGGAACCCCAATGACGACGCCCGGCTGATAGGTCCGCCCAGTGTGCGTTGACGCGCGAGAAGGCGTTCCGTTCCGCTGCACGGGCAAAAGGGAACAGGACGTGCACTTACTATTACCACTAGAGTTAATCCTCAAACCGCAACATGGTGCGGATCGCCCACTACAAAATTGATTCTAGCGTCGAGTGGTATACTCCGAGCCTCTGGCATACACAATGCGTACACAAAACTTGAAACCTACTGGTCAAGGGGATTGCTTTCAAAGTCTGAATGTCCTCAAAGCGGCAATTCTGAAGAGCTAGCTAATAGACACTTCAGCCCCTCCAGAACATTTTTGTTTCTTTTTCTGTCTCTTAATCAGTATGTTTCTTTTGACGCACCCCGTCCAAACCGAACAAAAACAGTTTACAGACGAGAATCTCAAACACGCACACAGACTACAAACCTGCCTTCCGAGCCTTGTTTCCCGCTCTCAATCTTTAACCCTTACGTTCTCACCAGCATAGACAGCGGCGGGGCCGATGGCGTCCCATTGCCAGCTGGCACTCCGGCGTCTTCCTCACTCCCCCAGCCGCCACGTGGCGGCGGCTGCGCCCCTGCGCGGTTTATCCAGCCTCCCTGACTGCCACGCGGCGGCCCAGGATAGGCCCGAGGCGGAACCCCAATCGCCCACGTCTTCTGCAGCTGCAGCTGGCGCGCGCGCTCGCGGCCGCGCCGCCGCGTTAGCAGGTAGAGAAAGAGCGAAAAGAGCGCGAGCGATGACGTGGCAAGCGTGAGCACCAGGTAGCCGACCCACTGGATGACGGCGGCGGTCTTGAGGGGGGGGCAGCGGTCGGCGACGAAAGACTGGAGGATTCTGGTGATAATCGTGCAGTTCGCCTGCGAGAATCAGAATAAAGTAGATCTGTTTAGGTTGCAACGATCTTGATCAAGTTTAGCACAAAGTACATCTCATAGTTGCAAGAGAGGACTTTAACCAGAAACGGCAAGGTTGAAAAGCTGATTTAGGCACGTGACCGGGGTCTGGCATACCCGATGAAAGCGGCGACTACCAGCCGACCTTATAAATGATTCAAGGGACTGAGCATGATAGTCATGAAGTAGTCTCAGACGAGGGTTAGTTACTCGCGACCTGGTATTGTTCGCCTGCAACAAGCAGCCGCTCTCTTCGCGAAGTGATCGAAGGATCTGATAAAAGTCACTTCCTCGGACCACGACGGCTGCTGTTTTTCTTTTAAATCACGCAGCAGACAACAAAGGGTATTGGCACCAACGTTTTGCGGTCCTCTAAGTTGACTCCGACCACTTAGGACGTATGAATTTTACTCCGAAGTTGCAACGTGTTTTAAAATCCACCTTACGAGCTTTTCGAGACGCGTCTATTGGATGAGGGCCTAGGAGCAGCGACTGAAGATGAACGTCAGGGCTGATTTTATCTTTGAGAAACTCCTGTCGTGATTCAAACTCTGCGGGCGTTATAAGATCCATCCAAATATTGGATTGAGTCGCTAAATCCTTTAGTGGGTACTTACCACGGCCTCTAAGGTGGGAATATCTTCCTGCAGCGCCGCACCCACTCTCAGCAAATCCCCAACCGACACGTGTCCGACCGTCTGGTTCAAGACCCCTCTCGAAGCCCCGCCCCCTTCCCCGAGCATTGCTGCCGCGTTGGCCAACGTCACACAGCCAGCTCCCGCTGCGGCAAACGGGTCGCAGAGAGGTGCCACGTGGGAGCCTCCTATTCGCCCGTTCTGATCTCTCACGAATCCGTTGTACTCTGAAACTAGCTGGCTGGTTAGTCGTTTGCCTTCTGTTAGGAACTTCAAAGCCGTTTTTGAACGAGAGCACGCGAAGAGCCTTTCGAGGGAAGCTCTCGAGGGGCTTTCCGTTCCGCTAACGTACTCTTCCGCCGCGGAACACGCGTCGTCCGCCACGTGTCGGCCTGCTAACGACAGCCCGAACGCCACCCACATGAGCGCCGCGACAATCCACGCGCAGATCGCGGCCACGAGGAGGAGCCACGCGGCGCGCGGCCGCGTGACGCAGAGCCACGTCAGCAGGATGGCTGACGTCAGCAAGAGGGCGGAGAGCAGGACGCCGGTCACGATGCGCGCGGCCGTGACGCTTCCGTGGACTCGTGAGCAGAAGCGGTCGCCGGAACGGAAGATTGTGACGGCGGAACGGTTGAAAGCGGACGCCTGATGCGCTAGGATTGTTGTGTCAGGTGCGAAGTTGAGGGACTGAATGGAGGAGGGAAGGTCTTCTAGCACGGAGGAAATAGTCTCGGCGGCCTGGAAAGGAGAGGGCTACTTTCAGAAAACAGGACTCTTTGCGCGTTCAGATCTTCAGTAGATCGTTTTTTCCACTTTATTGCAAGGGGACGAAAAGTCACCTGTCCAAGGTATATAGGAGCAGATCGCTGAACACAAATCTGCGAAGATGTTCCAAAAACCCAAACATAGTTTTTTTGAAGACTTGAACGCAGTTACGACAGCCATGAACCGTTTGACCGACGGGCAACACTCGGTGAAAATTTTGCAGGCTTTTCATGGTCAATTTCGTTTCAAACGCGGGACGGACCCCGGACTTCGAATTGCGATTCAGACCAGTCAGAGTACTTTGTCAGCAGAACTCTGCTTCCGTGCAATCATTAGACACTCTCTCTCATTGAATCGTTCTGGCTCCAGAAACCTGATGCGCACTTTGCCGGGATCCTCTGGAGGATTGGCGAAAGGAAGCGCTCTTCATTGCCAGATCCATGTAGTTCCACACCGTAGAAACGAACCGATTCAGTCTGAAACTGCCTTCTCTTGCTGGCGGGCGGTTTGGGAATCTGCTTAAACGCGCATATGTCGCGCAAATACCACAAGAATAAAAAGACAGGATCTTCGACAGCACTAGGAGTCCCGTACAACCCAGCCGATTCCTTTTTCAGACTCAACGTGCACAAGCACCTTAAGGTATTGAGATTTGAGAATTAGAACTGATTGAAATTCGAATTACGACAACAGTTCTTGTAAGGACGTGTTGTAGGAGATTCAACTAGAATCCGCCAATATTAGGTCGTCGAAGCTGTTCGCACTGATTCTAGATACTGAGAAGCAGTTTTTCGATGCAACAAGGCTTCAAGACTTGAATCGTTCCGGATAAGCTCTGCAACTCCGGAAGGGTTGCTGGGATAGTAATGCAATAGAAGCGCCTGATTTTCTGCATCGATTGCTCAAAGACAACAGAGTCGTAGCTTAAATGACTTGGAGAAACCACAAGGGCTCTCAGCGCAATTTCACGTCGCCGGAATCTGGTTCGACAAGCTCGAGCTACGACAATCCGCTGCATCGACCATTAGCCTTGCTCAAACCGGACCATCAGAACAGTCGTTTCTGAGAAAAGATCTCCATCGGCGTCTTACAAACAGGAGAGTCTCATCTGGTTTTTGTTGAGCGTTTAGTAAAGAGCCTCACCCTGACAGCGTCCTGCGCGGTCCCTCTTGCCGTCTCCTCAGCCCGGTCCACTTCGTTGGCGACCCAGCCAGTGCCCACCACTGCCAAAACGCCGCCCGCGATAGCCACCGCCCAAATAAAACCCAAAAGTAAAGTGCGCGCTTTCGTTACAACCGGCTTCTCCACGTAAATCCCCCCGCTTCCGCCGTTAAGTTCGCTTTTCCCGTTCCGCCCATTCCGTCCGTTCCTTTTCGAGGACTTTCGACAGCAGGAGCGAAAGAGGAAGTACAGAGCCAAGCAAACGCCTACGCATAGCCACACGGCGCCGATAGCGTATCCCCAGATCCCGGTAAACGCAGCGGACGCCCAGTAGTGCGCGCTATGAACGTCGAAGCCGCCCTTGTACTCGTAGAATCCCCAGAGCGGGTCCGGCCGCGACGCGCCTTCGACGAAGCCGACGAAACCCTCCGCGCCGTGGCTGACGTCATCGCTGACGTCATCTAGCGGGTTGCTCTCTTCGTGGAGGAGATTCCGTGCATGTGATCTCAAGGGGGGAGTCTCGGTGCTGAATCTGACAGGAGCTGTGCTCTCGGAGGATAGCGGAAAGCTAGCGGAAGCAAGCGGTATCTGCGCGGAGCAGTGCGGGAAGCGCGCACCGGGCAGGAGAGACGAGAGGAGCAGCACCAGAGCGAGGATTACGCAGCAGATCCGGCGAAGCATCTTGGCGAAAAGAACGATTGCCTTTGAAATTGATCGGTTACAGCTCTCTGACTGAGATGATTAGCACCCGCCTATCAAGCCTAGCCGAGTTTGCGCAGCTCAATATATTGAACGGATTGCAGCTCGGTTCTTTCTAACAGGACCGCGTGTCACCATGGCTTCTTCTGCATGCTATCTCTGTCTGCCTGAAACATGATAATTTGAAACTAGAGACCGAGATAAAATGCCCTGCTTCCTGTGTTTTCAAGAAGCATCTAACATTCCGCGAGATCAGTGCCATTGTGTGCAGCGCTCTGCTTAGGCTCCTCCCAGTTAAAGCGTCAATGGTATCTTGTGCCGAAACGGGGGACGCAGTCTGCTCCGCAGCAAGAACCAAAAAGAATCCTAATGTCGCATACAAGGTAGGCCTTTAAGCTCAAAAGCAACAACGGCTGTACAAAAAGTCACGCTCTTCTTCCCCTTTGTCCAGACAGAGCTCGTCAGAAGCGCAGCACATGCCAGAGATTCATGCAGCTTCATGCCGCTCGCTCAATCGTCTCATACTTTACGAAATCTGGCGACCCAAGTACGGCCCAAAGCACCACTGGCGTCGCCTTGGCACGGCGGCTGCTGCTGTAAGTCAAATGCCCGGTGGCTACGCGGAGGTTGACTCAAGCGTGGGCGCAGCAAGCCGCGGGCGAACTATTTCGGGCTTGACACTCATTCGTCGGTTCGCCGGGGTTGAGTCATCCTCAGTATCAACTCGTGATTTTCATCAATTGACAGGGGAAGCGCCCGGCCCCTATAGCTTTCAGTCGTTCATGAAAGTCATGCATGATTGACATCAGTCTTGCATGACCTGCGCAGCAAATCAGTTGACGATCGAATCATCTGCTGATGATCGCGGTGTTCAACGCCTCACGCGCCCGCGAACGGCGACGCGAACGTGCAATGTTCGTCAAACTTTCAAAGTAAGCAATGCACAAGAAACGCGCGCTTCAAGAATTTTATATAATGAGCAGGGGATCCCGAAGGGGACTAAGACGTATAGGCCAGTAGTATCTGCAATTAGGCTGTTGATAAACTTTAAGGTATCTTCTCAAAAGTATTGGCTGACATTGCACGGTGACAGAACGTTTGCTAAGATCATGTTCATTTCACCTGCATACGTTTGCGCGATCAAGGCTATCGAATGGGCCCTGTAAGTTAGAAATTAGTGGCATTCAATTCATTACGCAACCCGGGTCCGCTGGCGAGGATGTGCATGTACGGTGTCACTGGCACGCCGTGCGCAGCCCATTCATCATTGAGCTACGGATTCTGATTGATCGGATATGCTGATATAATAGGACGCAAAATCCGCGAGTCCAACGATCTTTGAGGCCCTATTAAGCCTGCTGACGCGGTACGTACACGCCGCGGGCCCGATGCATGGACCGTCCACATCTCTCGTCGGAAACTGGGACCATCATTAGAACGCAAAGAACGACTGAAACTCGGCACCATATTTATAACTTCCTTAGCTTTCGTCCCGATTCGTGCGAAATACAGCGAGGGCAATCATTGAATCCAACGGCAACTTCTAAAAAGACGTTCAGTTCAGAGATCTGCCCCATGCCGTCTTTTCTTGCACATACAATTTGGACCACATAGTTGTCACGTAGTCGAGCCGGCGCATGAGCGCTCAGGCTGGCACAATTTTATGCTGCACCAACGGCGAGCATCTATTTGAAACTGTTCTAAAACGGACCGAACAAATAGCCGTTGCCAAACGATTTTTATTGTCAAAAGCGCAGTTAAGCGCAAGCTCTGATTGAACGGCCGGCGATGCACTGTAACGACGACTTTTGGGGTCGCCTCACCAGACTTTTTCTAGCCTTCTTCCTCGCTCTGCTTAGGTCCCTCAACGAGTAGCAGAGTGTGGTCGAAACCACACGCCACTTGTTTGACAACTAGATCGCGGCCCAAGTCGAGGGGCTCCGGTTCGGACACGTCGCTGGTATGTTCGAGTCCGTGGCGTCCGTTTCTGCAGAGAGGCGCGGAGCAGATTAGAGATCAAACACTTCGCCGACACTCTCTCCATTCATCCAGCACCTTCGAAATCGTCGTTTTCCACAATCTCGGTACGCGGCAGCAATCCCCCGCGGCAGCAGCAGTGATTGTGGTGAGTATCAATCGGGCTATCCCACTGACTTGCGTCCTTAGCCCGTTTCGTCTCGTTATCTTAAAGAAGCAAATCTGGTCCCAAGTCTCTGCTCTACCAGACGTTAGCTGACGCAGCAGCGAAATACGCAAAGGAGGAAAATCCGAATGTAGCACTTTCTAGACTCGTTGAACCCGTCCACTCTGAACTTTCTGCCGCCGCTTCGACGATTACCGACGGTGCTCCTCCTCCCATTATACGTTCTCCCATCTTCGCACCGGATTTTCCGCCACGAAGAGTCTGCCATTTGACTTGACCCTTCTTCCTCTGTTCTTTTCGTTCCTCCTTGTCCTTACGTTTCTTCCAAAAGCAGTCCGAACCTCACCTCCCGCTTCCCCACCCGTAGCACTCCCGAAAACCCTCCGTGACGTCACCAACCGCCACTGAGTGCGCCCTTCCTGCGGCCGCCATGACCGGGATGACGTCATCGTCCGGCAGAAGCACCTCGCCCGGGGATCCCGCGCTCACGTCATCCTCGGCGTCACGCCCGAGCTGGCCCGAAGCGTTCCAGCCCCAGCTGTATAGTTGAGAGGGGCCGAGACCTGCAAAAGATACCCGGTTTGCATGAGCGGCTCGCACAGAATATGGAAGCCTAGACTTCCTTGAGAGAAAATGGAGAAATGCTTGCAAGTGGCACGTGCGACGCTGCTCGCCTTTCCGTTTACTGGGGTGATTGACGCACGTGCGCACAACGTCTTGCGCCTGTATTACCTCCAAACCGGATCGGTACGATAATCCTTACGATAGAAGTTTCTGCGGTTCTTGTCCGCTTGATGACTTTGAGAACCCGCTCATACGTAGTTTCCACTTGCTTCCAAGGAGAGCTGAGTGCTTTTGAAATCCTCGCCCCTTTCACCAGAAACGATGTTAAGTGACCAGTTGAACCCATTTTTGGAAGGCCGGCTGAAAGGGCTCGTTTCAGTCTCATTTCAGTCTCGTTTCACTCTCAGAGGGCTCGTTTCAGTCTCATTTCAGTCTCGTTTCACTCTCAGAGGCAGGAACTCTCGGTTGTGCCGTCACAGGTGAGGGCGACATCTCACTCTCTTCGCCCTGCAAGTGGTCGCCCCGGGGCCTCGCAATAGCCAGTGAGTGGCTCAGCCCGGCTGCCACGTGGCATACGAAGAGTGGCTGCAGCGCTCCCCGCACGAGCGCGCTGCGACGACCGTTTAATTGACTGTCTCGACCTAGCTGACCGTTCGTGTTGTCTCCGTACGTATACAGACACCCGTGGTCTGGCAAAGAAAGGATGCGTGTCAGCTGGTGACGTCGGCGGGCAGGTGATCACAGATTGAACGATACAAAAATGATTGCCGTTAACAAATCAATTTCCGTCAAAGACGACAAAACAGCCAGAGAGACGGAACGTGTCAAAGCCGAACCTGACGATATCGGACAGAAAGGTTTTCAAGCGCATGGAACATCACCCACAACGGCAAATTCTCCGAGTGTGCTGAACTCCACTGAGGTCCCTTCTCTAGAACGACGGCACATCATTCGAAACGGTGAACGTTCGTAAACGGGCAATACTGTCCTATTTGAGCCCTGTGGATCAAAAGCTCCCCTGCTTGTTTCTCATTGTTGGCCTGCGGTGCTGTCGACCATGCTCTGGGCTACGGATCCAGTCGCACATCGTAAGGGCTGATAACATCCAACTCCCCGATTCGAACCCCTGTAGTTGTGCAGCCGCTAATGTCTGCACGGCCGGTGTGGCGCTGCCTTCTCGCGGTGCTAAATATTTGTTGCAAAACTAGAGAAGAACCTCAAAGTCTGACGAAGACCCCTGGCGTCGAAAGTGAGTGATCGTTCCTCCCTGAGCCCGGAGACTCATTCTGCGAAAGCTCCCCCCCTCACCCGATAGAACTAGAGTGTGGTCCATCCCGCACGCGACCTGCACCGCCCGCACGTCCGCCAGCGCCTCCACCCGCCGCGGCTCCCACTGGATCGGCATATGCCGCTCGCCCATGATCTCCGCTTCCACGGCTTCGTCAACGCTTAGGGTTTGGGTAACCGGCGCCGGGGTTTGGGGTTTGGGAGTTTCGACGTCGAAGCCAAGGCGGCAGTTGGCCCCATAGCCCCATGCGAAGACGGCGCCGTCGGCGGTGCGCGCGACAGCGTGGCCCCACCCGCAGGCGACCTGAGTTGGTGTGAAAGCATCAGAAACCTGGTTCCCGTGCTTGATATCAGTTTCAAGGAATGCTGGATGTAGACTGCCAAGCCGAGCAGGCTATTGTGTTTTGTCGAGCCTGGCCGCCATCGCAACCAAGCTGCGAACATCGACCTTCGCTCTAAATGTTGAGTCCAGTCTTTCGTCTTCACTTAGAGCTTTTCAACTTCCACTGTATAGCTTCAGTTGACTTTAACGCACTTCGATGCAATAATCCGAATTCGTTGACCATGATGGTGATGCAAAACAAACGCAAGTGTAGCTTGGACGAGAGGGAAGATACAACACTTACGTGATCGGAATCAGGGCCACGGCTGGAAAGTAGTCCAGAAGGCAATACTGGCGTTTGAGTTACACGGGGAGATCACTACGTTTTAGAGCCCGATAGGATTCCAATTCTTATCGAGTTGAGTTTCTGATCCAACGAAAAGCTTTGAAAGCTCACCGTTGTCCGGCAAGGACACGGTTCAAAGCAGGTCGGAGGCTATAAAGCGGAACCTGCCGTTTTGACAACTTCCCGCTGGTTTCCGTTTCAATTCTGAGTCCTTTGCTCGTTCTTTTTCGAAACAATCTGTCTGCACAATATACGCATATTCTGCAAAGTTATCACACCCCGAGCGTCCCCTGCGCTCTCGAGACCACCCCTCAAGCATTATTTCGCTCTTACCTCCACAACGGTCTCCTTCTCAAGAGCCGTCACTCTCTGTGGGGTGGGGCTGTCCAGTGTATCAGAACCCAGTCCGAGCTGGCCCCGTCGCGAGCTGCCCCACGCCCAAAGCGAGCCGTCGTTTCCCACAGCAAAGGACGCTACTCCGGACCCAGCAGCACTTGCCACGTGGACGCCTTCTAGACCAGAGACTGGATGGGGAAGGGAGGAGGACACCGGGGCTGCGCTGCAGAAAAGGTTCGGAGAAGTAAAAGGGCGGTGAGGTGCTCGAGTATCCGGTTTACGCTGGAAAGGTAAGCTTGTGGCTCGTTCTGGCTTCCTTTCTTTAAAGCTCGGTGATGGTAGTTTTAACAGGTGAACCGATTTGACAACGTTCAGAATCTCTGACACAGTAGTATCCGTTATAACTTGTAAATGCAACCGATGAAGAAGCTGGTGCAAGTAGTGCATTGTCGAACACATTCCCGCTGTGCTTGGCCATTGAAGCTATGGACATTCCAGTACTGCTGCCAAGGATCATCAGACATACTCAAAGATTTCCATTAGCAATATTACTTCCTTCTTTGGAGATCCTGATATTTAAAGAAACGTTTCCGTTTGCCTTCCAATGACAAGTCGCTCTTACTCTGTAAGTAGATTATCTGAATTTTACCACACTGGACGAAATGAAGAAAGCTGCAGGGAAAGACAACGTCATCAACGACACTTCCCTCGGGATTTGAGCCGGACAGCTTATATACCTGCGATATCCCTGGTCAAAGGACAAAGGGATAATCCAAAAGGCGTCCTCAATTTGATGATAGAGCCCGTCGCACGCTCACCTGTCACGATGACCTCTGGAGAACTTCAGTGAATTGGCGTCACCCGTCGCAGAAACGAGCTCCTCGGTGTTCGCATCGGATCTCACCCCCCGCCCCAGCTGGCCCTCTTTGTCTCTCCCCCAGGCCCATAGCCGGCCCCCCTTGGTGATTGCAAAAGAATGATAATGTCCAGCGGCGACACTAATGGTATCTGGCGGAAGTCCATTGACGGGGGTTGGAGAGTAAGCATCATCAAGGATGCCATCCCCCTGGAGCCCTAGCGCTCCAAAGGCGCCGTCGCCGAAGCTGAGAACTGCAGAAAGCCAGGGTTTGAATGCATGATGTGGATGGTGGTGCGGGGTTGAGATCTAAACTTCCTGTTGTGTGTCACTGAGACCAAAGCTATGGTGCAAACAATGTCGTGCTTCTCAGGTTCCACATGGAACGAGTGCCCCGAGCAGTCGTTTCAGGACAGGAGCAGGAGTCAATTCAAGCCAATTCAAGCAGCGTGGAGAGAAGAGAAAGAGAGTTTATGGATTCCCAGCCCGATTGTCACGGGCACATCATTGAAACGCCTCGGCAATGCTATCAATTGCCAGAGCTCCAAAGGTTTCCCTTGTCAAGCTCTGGGGATTAATTGTCCTCTGCAATCTGCACCTGCCGTCAAGTCAAAGACGATCAGAGAAGTTTGAAGTGGCGGTGCCAGACTTCCACGATCTTTTGAAGGTCAGCAAGTGAACCAGTGGGTATAATCAGATCTCGCGCGACACACTTACCGACAGCCTGTGATTCTGCATGGCCACCAGCTGATGATGAACAGCCTCTTTGAAACGTACATGAGAAGGCCCTCCTCAGTTCTATCCATGCACTTGCATGGGCAGAGATTGCCCTGCATGAGTTTGGTGCAACCACTGCAAAAGGTCCCGTGCTACTTATAAATGCCAACTGGTTGGCAACTGATTCTCTCCGGGTCACTGCGATTGGCCTCAATAGGCCCGCAAGCAGTCTCCACATTGGTTCCCCCAATGCTGTTGGCACTAAGTGTTGAAGTTGAGATTGTTCAAAGGTGGAGGAATTCTTGAGGCACCAGCAAGCAAATTTTGCAACTTTTATTGTTGCGCTGACTTGGAGCCGTCCTCGTGATTGATGACAATTGTCAACTGCGCAGGAAGAGCTCGTCGCCACTGGAAGCTCGTATTCATTGCTTTGCCCACAAGGATGCGCCTGCCAAATGGTGCGCACACATAAGCTTATCGTGATCAATTTCAAAGCAATGCAGCTTGATTCACGAATCCGCCCCCATAGGCAGCAGTGGCAAAGGCCCAAAGCAACTCGCAAGATTTAACAGCCAGAGTTGGCATTGGAACTTGGAAGTTGAAGACGGACCCAGCTTCATGTCTCGTTGAAGTGCCGGGTCAGACGGCTAACCCGCTGAGTCTTTTATACGGTGTCAATCGATGGCTGGTGCTCCCTGCCTTCCGTCCGTAACACTCTTCTTAGCAAACTTATAGGGTTCGGAGTTCGCGACAGAGGCGATCTCGAGAACCTGAACTTGAAGCAATCCCCCTCTATTCAGTCTGACTAGAGTGAGAGTGAGGCGCTGCTTGCTGATCAAAGTGAGGCGCGCTGCAGTCGCGGCAATCAATCTGCTCTCGGACTCACCGACCGCAATTTCGGAGAGGCGCTCGAGCGCAACAATGGCTGCCATTCTGCGTTTTCCAGTTTTGCAGTGCACCCGCTACAGTGCTCCATAAATCAGGCCTGAACAACCGTTGGGAAGCTCTTGAGAATTGCTTTTCAAAGAACCTGGGCGCAGGCGCCATAACCAAAAGCACAAATATTACCCAAAATGGTGTGGGCAAGCCCATTTGGCTTTCAAGGGAACACCTTACTAGCTTCAAAGGGACTCTATCTTGCGTGGGTGAAGCGAGGTGGCAGCGGGATGCAGCAAATGCATCATGAGATTTGCTGATGAGGCTGGCTGCATTGCGATCGGAGCTTTTGAGCACTCAAGCTCTTGTGGGGCTTTTAGCATTTTGAGTTGAGGCCGCAACACCGCAAGAGGCAGCCTTTGTGCAGCCTTCTAAGCTAAGTGTCTCCCCCATTCACTCTTTTTTGGAGCTGCATTGCTCGAACATCCAGGCTGGTAGGGTTTCGATTGCATCCATTGCTAAAATGTTTTCCTCTTCTTTAGCCCCTTCAGTGAATGAGGCTCTTCCTTTCCAGCATACTCCCCGCATACTCATGTTCTGTTGGCATTGCTGCATCGTACCTCAAAAGCAATCAGTATTGTAAGATCGGCTTTCATCGGACTCACGAATTACGGTCAGATTCTGATTGAGCTCTGGGCGTCATCCCTTGAAACCCTTTTCTTTGGAACCCTTGAAACCTGGTCTTTTGAAACTTCCGATTCTTTTGCTTGCAATGTTTTGTTCATGCTCTGTGCAAACTCCGTGTCTTACCTCCGCCGTCCTGCTGGGAGCGACGTGAAGCCAAAGCTGAATTGAACCTCAAGCCGCAAGAGACGCGAACTGAAGCTGAAGCTGAACTGAACATACAAGACTTCCTTGTTTTTTGTAGACTTTGCACCTGATGATTTATTTACAGGCTTGTGCTAGCAAGGAAGCAATTGCGATGGTAATCTGCTTCATGGGCCCTCCCCACTGAATGACCTATTGCAGACTTCTTTCTTAAGAGTCACATAAGAATCACGTCACGCAGAACTCTTCTCATGTTTGGATGGATCATTGACTTTGTCAAATCGTTAGAGCTTCCTATCCCTGAATCCTGGACATTGCTTTACGACCTTGTTCAGTATTTTGAGAGCTTCAAATGCGCAGGCCACCTGTACGCCACCTTTCTCGTAGCGCACAGTTTGCATGTGTTCTGGGCTTGGGACGCATCAAAGTAACTTCAAACACGAACGTGAAACTTCAGTACCGATTTCGTTTCGATTGTTTGAAGAGGGAACTTCATAGACCATGGACGTCTTGAGGGACTCGAAAATGTGCCTCTGTTGGCATGATCCTGCAATGGTCGATTCCATTCGCAGATCGGAGGCGCGCATGGTCTTCTTCGCGATTCTACATCGAAGCGCTCTGGAGTACCTTTTCCCCACCCACAAAAGGCGGGTCCAAGAAAGAAGCCAAGAGACCCTGGGGGGGTTTTTAACGGCTCCAGCGTAGTCTAATTTAGACAGACTTCGATGTAGAATAGTGTTAGAAGCTCCCATTTGAGTGAGGCTTGCATGCAAGTCGATTGAAAACACTCATAACCGTTGCCTGTAACGAGCTCGAACCTGTAAGAATATAAGATAAGTTGCGTCTAGAAGTAGAACTCGGCGTATACGCATCGAGTTGCGTGTGGTAGTTCTATGCTCTTTTTGGGATCTGTAGGAGCATAGAATAAGAACCATCGACACAGCCCATCTCCGTACCGGTAAAACGGTCGGATTGTAAATGATACCATCTGCAGGACAAGCAAGCTGTTTGCCAGCTGTTTGGAGCAAGATTTGAAGGCGCAAGTCTCTAATGAGATCTAGCTTGAATCAATAGCACTCTCGTGTTTCTGCTTTTTGACAACAGCTGTGTCACGTACGTCTTTGCCTTCTTTTGGCAGAAGGCACAAGCGCAGCTCAATGAAGCAATCACAGCTAGAGCAAGAGCATCAGCAGCTCTAAACATGTCTTATTGAACTTCTTGTAGCTTGCTGCACTTGACGAATCAGGTTCTGTAACTGATGGATATTGATGTTCCAACCATAGCAGAGGCTCTGTTGTCGGACAAGCCAGCCATGCATGTACTCTTTCGGGTTGTGAAGCAGTTTGCAGAACTTTTTGCAGGCCGGGAACCAGGCAGCTCAGCACCCATCAATCTCTGTCGCTTTGCTCAGGAGCTGGCAGTATACCGTCAGGACGCAGTTGTGAAGAAGCTAGTGACCAATGTTCTCGCTTCGCAGGAGGAGCCATCTGCCGAATATGACGAACGCATGGAGCAGGACTCTGTCGCTCTGTTATCTGTGCGCATTCTCACCCACCTTGCATCCAGCCAAGTTGTTGCCAATTCCTGCATACAAGATGAGCGATCTGCTTGGGGTTTGTTGGACCACTATGTTGAGAACCTGGAATGTCTTCGGGACCCAAACAGAGAAGAAGGCTATGTGGCGTAGGAACTCGGAGCTCAACCAGGACCTGAACGACTGGAGCGCCTTCTTCAGTCTAGCAGGGATGGTGTATTTCGGTCGGGCGTCCAAGCTGTTTCGTGAGAGCATGCGTGAAAATGAGGAGCTTCTTCCCTTGCTCGAATTTGTCCTCTCAGACAACTACTTAGGCAGGTGCTCCGATGTTGCTGCAATCAGATTGAGGGTTTCAAATCTCATCGAGGCTCTATCACTCTCGCCAGACAGCAAGACGTGGATTGTTGAACAGGATTATCTGCAACTTGCGGCACGAATCTTTGAGACCACAAACTTAGCGGCCCAACATGACCCAGAATTCCAGTGTGCATTCTACCTGTTCAGCTTATCAGAAGTTCCGGACTGTCTGGCACAAATGAAGCAGAAAGCAGTTTACACGATCTTCAAAGTTCATCGTGACATGTTTGAGACCTTGGAGATCGGTCCTATCTGGTCCGTGCTTGAAGATAGACTCCTCGGTCGTGTGAGTAGATCAAAGAGATCGCTTCGAGTGGAGGAACTCAGAAGACAGGTTGAGCTAGACATGTACGCCAGTGGCTTGCCAACAATCTGTTCATGGCGCGGCTGCTCTGTTCCAGATCAGATGGTCTCAGGCATGAAGTTCAGCAAGTGTGGTCGCTGCCATGTGGCGCACTACTGCAGGTAAGTGGTTGGCTTCTTATCTCTATGTTGTGAGCTTTTCAGCAACTAAGAAGTGCCAAATGACTTCGTTTGCAAAACGGCTTGTGGCCTTGTCCGCCAGGTTGCATGAGAAACAAGGAGTTGAAGAAGCGCAAACAATTGCAATCGCGCTTTCCCATTTTCTCTCGTGGTCCAATCATTCACAAAGCATCTGAAAACCATCAATCTTGTGTATTGCACAACATGAATCCAAGATGTCGGTTGTCTTGGCGCTTGATATTGAGCGGATATGTCTCATTTACTTCGAAAGTGGTTGAGGCGGCTGTCATTTCCGGACAAGCTTCTGATTTGTGAAACGCACGAACCAAACGTGTTCTCTTCACGTCTTGCAGCAAAGATCACCAGAAGTTACACTGGCCACAACACAAGAAACACTGCTTCAAAGCACAGGCAGCTTGATGGAGTTTGTTCGAATGGAGGCGTGAAGACACGAACAAAGGAGGAGTTTGCGACAAAGTGACAGGGGAATAGAGAGCTTTAGACAGAGAAGTTGGCCGGCCCTTACCTTTCTGTACATTGACATGAAAGCTGCAATCTCATAAGAATCGAAGTAAAAGCCTTTGCCATTAACTCTGACATGTAGCACACACGCAGACAGTCACCTGTGCCAGTGACACGCTTGCAAAGGTTGACTCTTCGCTTCGGCCGCCGCAATTCGAGTTTTGCTGTGGCAGATTCCAAGATCCTTATGCCTGTTAGAACCGTTGTCTGCTAGTCAGTTCGGGCCGCCAGGTGCTTCACGGCAGACCCACTATTCTCTGGTTAAGAGGCACAGAAGGGGCGGCCAGGTCGCGCGATATTCGTATCGCGCAATGACATATGCATATGCACTTATGGACGGAAGCTCAAAACGTCCGTTTTATACTTGACCCGACATGGTCGACCTGCATGGAGTGACCTGGATATTCAAGTACGTACTATAAAGTGTATATTGTCGGACGTTCTCCGTTTGCGCCAGATATATTTTTCGTGCAAGCTAGTTCCATTCACTCAGGGCATGTAGGCATTCCGATCATGCAGTAAAACATCGCTCGTAGATGATGCACATGCGTGGCTGCACATGTATGTACGCGCATTAACCATGATAACACGTATCATAAAGCAGTTCAATGGCCGATTTGATGGACGGTCGCCCAATCATTTGCAATCAACTGATTACGATTGAAACGATGCGCAGGCCCGACATGTATTGGTTCACTTGCATGCAACCTATGCAGAGTCTCAGCTAAAGGGCGTGATTTTTGAGACCTAACAAGGTCGTTTTCAGGTCTGGCACAAAAGTAAGCCAGCTTCACATTCTGACGTTTTCCATCATGCCGTCCTTCTGAATCTAGGAGACGGCTTTGAGAAATAGAAAAGGGTTTCTGCTAACTGCCGAGAATCTTTCCCATTCCAAAATTGTGACTCAAAAAAGGCAAGCGTAGCTCTGACCAACTACACCAGGCATGTAGAGCATTGAAGTTCAAACTCTCTATCCAGATAAGCAAGCCGGCAACTACTTGAACTCGAGCACCTCAATCTCAAACAGCAGCGTGGAGTTGGGTTGGATCCCCCAGGCGGGGAAACCTCCAGCCCCATACGCATAATCGGGCGAGCACTGCAGAAGTCAGTTGGATACGATAAGGCAACCTACAGAGTAACGATGATTCACTGTCGCCTTCTAAAGAACCCAATCAGAGGCAACCGCAGCATTCGAGAGACTTTGCAAGCTTCGAAACCAGTTCTTTTGAGGTAAGGAGGGTTTAGAATACATGTGTCACGTTGAAAGCATTTCTGGCGTCGCTTTGAGCTTTGACTTTGCAATACTTCTCACCGTCAAGCGAGAGACCTCTCCCCTCTGCATGTTCAAAACGCCTTCATCCCAACCTGCAATTGACACCCAATGGCCACTCAGACACCTCTCAGAAGGGACTCCCGTGGAGCTTTAACAGGGTAAGCACAGCAGAGCAGTCTCATGCATCCGCCTCTGGCCTCGAGAAGTCCACAGAATCATCAAACCTATGTACAACCGTAAGGTGCTTCCTGCCGGAATCACAATTTCTGGGATATTCTCCTGTTGCTTTTCTGGTCAAGCCCCTACCTTTGATGACTTGGCCAAGGCCCACCCTGAAAGTGAACGGCTCCTGCCCTGGATCCTTGGTGCTGCACAAGGCCAACATGTTGTCAAACGAAGTGTGCCCAAAGGTCCATTCAAAAGGAGGAACGGCCGACAGCAGCCGAGTACCATGCGTGGTTTCTGAAAGCGGTAGAAACCGGAAAGAAGGGGAGCGAGATTGCTGAGGACTTCAGAAGACAAAAGAGATGTGACGTTCTTGTGTATCACAGAGCTCCTTGACACACTGTCAACATGTCTTTTGGGGTGGAAAGTGAATTGCATCGTGATTGCTGAGTCAGCGTCGAAGAAGTCCTGGCTGACTGGCAAACTTTACTAAGCGCGACAAAAGAGTTCCGCAGCAAGGTGAAGAAAAATTTCGGATGTCAGATTGCACAGTCCAAAACTTCTGAAAGGTAGGAGCAATGACGCACAATGAGAAGGACAAGCATTGATGCAAGGGGGTCCAAGTGCACCTTATTCTTCAAAGTTGCGCAAAAGCTCCTTGTAAAGCATTGGCCACGCTGACTTCACCTCCATGCTACATCCATCCGAAGTTTTCAAGAGATAGCGTAGAAAACCATTGAGAGAACGCCGGCCGACAATTCCATAATGTTCGTCAGCAGAAGAGCCAGAGTAACACGTCGTTCCTTCAAACAAATCAGCGAATGCTGGGGATAAGTGCGCGCCTCCCGGTGCCTTACCTCCAAAACTTCTTGGACAAGTCCCGATCTTTCCCGTAGCCTACAAGCATGAAATTGAGGTCCTTAGTTCAAACCGAGACATGCCATTTTGACCTGTCAAACCTGCTGGCGGGTTATGGAAAAAGGCGCTCAGACAGTGGCTTGATTTGCTTGCCTTTCTGATTTAGAGAGGGCGACAGATTGCGCCATCAGAATTGGCTTTCAAACATCCCTTGCAATGCCATGGCACAAACTGAAGCATATCAGGCGAGTATCTGCGCATGCACAAGAACAGCTTCTGGAGACTCTGAGTGTAGTACTGCTGTGGACCTTACCAGTGCAATGCACGGTGACTGTCTGCCCTTTCTGAGGCTTGGGCCCGCTCCCTGCCTTAACTTGCTCCTTCTCAATCCCCATACTTACTCTGCCACCACTCAAACCCCGTGACGAAACAAGATATGTGCACGGCTCTCCGGAGAAGGACGTCTCTCCAAGCTGCCTGTGCAAGTTCCCTCCCTTTCTCAACAGATTGCACCCCGTAGTAGAGCGCCTGACTTGCAGATTCTGGCTGCTCCTGCCTGCAGCAAAGAGGGCGGCGGCGCGTCCAACGGTCAACGCTGCAGGGCTGCTGATTGCCTGCATTTAAACTCCCTGCCTGAAGGCTAAAGGCGCAAAGACGTAGCGATCCGGGCTTGGATTCGGAATGTGCACGACTCGGAAAAGAAAGACAATTCCGATTTCAGAGGAGCAGGAATGGCCCCGACTCCAGAGACAAGTCGCCCTGATCATTCTCGCGGCCGCGCTGCGCTATCCGAAGCCGCGACGGCCGGCTTTTGGTATATAGTTGAACTTTGTGCGCGCGCCCATGGTGACAGGTTGACGGTTGGGATGCACCTCGCAACATCATCACCCAGTACTCAAGACAGCTCCATGTGTGCACTGCGTGGCTCCGACTCGAAGCTACAGTCCTGTGTAGACAGAACATACATACCCACAGCACTGGTGCGTCAACTGAGCATGACGTCATGAGGTACAGTTCTCGTACAGTACCTACAAGAATCGGACGGCAGTGCTACTGCATGCCGTCATGACGCACTGAGAGTACTGAGCTTCGCAGCTGCTCGGCCAGCATGTGCCCAGTTTCCATGTGGGCAAAGCAGTGATCGAGAAATCCTGGCAATGACTCGAGCCATCGTCGAGAGAATCTGGGAAGTCAATGACAAAGGTTAGCTGAGGGCAATGATGATGCCATGAATCATGATGACTCTCAGAGGACAACTTTGAAAGGCTAGGCGTCATTTTGCACTGCAGGCTGGCCGGGCAAAGAGGGGGAATGGTTCCTTACATAGCAATGGCGAGCCCGTTGGCGTCCGTCAATTGTCGACCATCAGAAGAGATCCGCAATCGGATAGCCTTCTGCGCAGAGAATCATAAGTTTTAGTTGCACGACCCATAGCAGGTAATGCATGGGAATCCCGTGCATGTACATCAGCCTTTTGAGATGGGTTCCAGATAGTTGTTCGGAGGGATGGAGGAGACGCCTGTGATGCTTCCGCCCGGGCCATGTTTGCCTGCAGGCTGACCAGAAAGGGACGGGAAAGGGACTCGTCAGTGTCTGCTCTTCGGGTACTGCTGGGTCCTGAGGTAGTTGCCCGTGTGGAGGAAGGGCACAAGCTTGGCAGCATTGAGTCCATCAGAAAAGAGCAAGCCCATTATTGATGTCTGTAGATATGTAAAGCAGAACGGGGTCGAAATCATGGTTCATAGACCGCATGTGTAATGTCGTCACAATAAGAATTACTCAGCCTAGGAATCATCCCGAGCGCGGCCTTCAAAGGAGTATGTTGGCAGCAGCTATTGCAATCAAAGGATGCCGGCGACGTCGGGCTAGGTCAGAGGAAGGTCAGGTTGAGCTGTGCTGACAGGCATCAAGAGTTTGAAAGTCGCGATTCTAAACAAGCGGGGGAATTCATGAGCTCAAAGACCACAAGGAGCGGAAAGCGTTTCCTTTTTCGTAAAAGGAGGCCCCAATCACTGCCAAGGACAATTGCAGGAGGAAGTGGTACGGAGCTTTTGCTGAAAAGGGTGCGTTTGGCTGGGCGATCGTCAAAGAGTTGCCAACTGGCACGACATCGGTCGGACAAGGGGGCCAGCCGCCACAAAATAGCTCTCGGAGCCTAACCATAACAACAAGCTAGAAAGAGCTTTCGAAAAAGGTTCCTGGTGCTGTAAGCAACTAGAGGCGCATTGGGTACCTTCAACAGCTAAATAGTTGGTAACGTCTCAGGTCTGCGGGACAGTAGAAGAGCTTTCCAAGGGCTCGAGGTCGCAGCGGAAACGCCGTGAACGGTGACTACAAATCAATCGATTGCTGGCGCCGGGCAGCTTCGGCTTCTTAAGCAGTGGTCCCGGGAGACTTGGGTTAATCAAAACGGTGTTCCGGGAGACCTTCGGGTTACCTAAACGGTGTGGTTGGGAGCTTCCGGTTATCTTAACGGTAGGGGCGGTGAGCTTCGAGTTATCTAAACGGTAACGCCGGGGGGGGAGCTTCGGGTTATTAAACGGTAGGCGGTGGGGAGCTTCAAGTAATTAAACCGGGGGCAGAGCTTCGGGTTACTAAAACGAGAGGAGGTGGGGAGATTTGGGTTGTCTACACAGCCGGCTGCGGCAGCTGCGATGGCCCCGTCCAAAGGCATCCGGCCGCTGGGCATGCAGAGGAACAACAGCGAAATTCCGGTGAGTACTCGAGCTCGACTTTAGTACGCGCTACCGATCGACGAGTGAAGTTTTCGAGCTTTGCATTTTGCACTATTGGGGAACGGATGCACTGGGCTGTGTACTTTGAGATTATTGGAACGGGCGCATTGGGCTGCTTTGTCGAGCCAGGATATTGTAGTGGATAGTAGTGGGTGAGACATGGGGTGGGAAAGGGTCACCTTTTCCGAAGATGCAGGAAAGCGGTTGCTATATATATGCGATGCACTAGGGTCTGTTTGTTGGGGAACGGCGGTCCGATGAAGCTCAGAAGCGTGGATGATGACGAGGAGCTTTGTTGAGAGCTGTCGGACGGACACGAGTCGCTGACTAGAGATGGTTTGTGGCGTCCGAATTTTGACGTTCCTTGGACGTCTCTTCGGGAAGCCCACAATCAGTAGCTCGAGAACGTCTCAAATAAGACTTCGTTCGAAAGCGCAGCCCTTGTCCTTCAACGTTCACGAATCTCTAGAAGTCAAGCGTACTCAGCGGCCTGCTTTAACACACTTTCCAACAGCCGTTTTCATCTCGTTGACGTTGCCGCCTGAGCTCGTTACTGCGCTGGTTGCAGGCCCCCAACAAGATTCTGGAGCAGCGGGAGCTCGAAAAGCAGAAGGTGAAGCCACCGTTCTTTGCCCAAAGCGAAAAGCCAAGCCACGTGTGGATCTAAGTGGATCTGAACAGACTTGCGAGTTTCTTTAGAAAGCTAGGCGTGTACGGATTGCTAAGCAACCAAGTAAATTGGGAATCAGTACCTCGTCAGATGCGCTCGTGGGCTGCCCCCATCTTCTTTTTTCAAATAATGTTCTGTCCGTTGTCAGAATCTTCAGCACTGTCAGATGAGCTTACCCATCTTGCAAGATGGCTTTTGCCTTAATGGTGAGGTAGGACGAGGACATTTTGAGCTAGATACCGAGAACGACACGGGCCACGTGCATCTCCTCGCTCCAATACCTTGCATCCGCAGCAATCCTAGCCGCCCAAACTGACGATACAGTCAAGCTCAGAGCTTGCTAGATACCTGGCATCAGGCTGACTTGTGCAGCTGTGCTACGAGAAGGAAACGGGCCACGTGAAGATTCTGGTCAGCTCTGTTTTCATTTCTCCAGCCGTGGCGATTCTGCCACTCTGTCTAGAGTGATCCACCTCATGGGCGCTGACGTTGCGCTGACGTGTGCAGCGGCACCACGAGAAGCGGCTGATCCAACGAAGACTGGCCCTCGCAATCGCTCTCCATTTCACTCATAGGTATCAGTCTTATTTGGCTGGAGTTGACTGCGACTGGGTTATAGGCTCTAACGTCGTGCTGACGTGTGCAGCGGCACCACGAGGAGCGGCTGAGCCACGTGAAGAGTACGAGCCAGACGAACGCGCGCAAGCGCCTGGACAACACCGTGCCCATGACCAGCTTATTGCTGCTGCCCGACCATAAGAAGCTGCTGCGGGAGACGAGTGAGGGCCCGCCACGTGGCACTCAATTATTGGCTCCGCTTCGGAAAAGCGACGTGATGACTATCTTTGGCATTCTTCGTTTCAGGCAGTTAGCTACAGGAATTGCGTGAACGAACCAAGTCTGCGTTTTGAAGCATCTTCTTTACGGCAAACCTCTTCGGAGACTCGCAGCAAGTAACGGCCACTAGAAACCCGGTAAAGTTTCCAGCTTAGGAATCCTGATCCTGATGGTTCGAGCTTTTGCACTGATGTACCGTCCGGTTAACCGCTGGGTTTGGTGAGTACTTTGATGTAAACGGGAAAGCACTTCGAGCTTTCGTTCCTTAAAGACCGTTTCTTGCAAACGTTTTGTCGCTTAATTTGTTCTTCGCTCTCCTGGATGGAACCCGAGAAAGAACGACGACGCATCGAGATTATATTCGCCCTTCTGGCAGGGCCCTCCGCTATGCTGTTCTTTGATGAGCTTTTGTTGACCCTCTCCTGAGCTACCTCAAGCCAAGTGTGAGAGCTACTCCAACTTCCAACTAACCTTCTTTTGCAGGCCGGTTAACGGCTATCGAGTACGAGAACGGCCAACTGTTAGAAAAGCTAAGCACCATCGCAAAGTCCGGCGCGAGGTTAGCGCCCGACGGATCGGTCCGGCCCGGAACGGCCCTTGGTAACAGCGGAACCGGAAGCAAGTGGCCGTCAAAAGAGAAGGGGCGCCCCGCGTCAGCGATCGAGGGAGGGCTCAATCAGAAGGCGAGGAAAATGGAGAAAGAGACAATTGCGAGGGAAAATGAGGTAATATAGGATTGGCAGAAGCCTGGGACCAAGCTTTGTTGAGTGTTCGAGTTGAGATAATTGCGTAAGTCGAGCTTTCACGAGACAGGAATACAGTAGATGGATGTACAAAAAGTCGGATTGAGACAGATCGAAGAAAGCGACTAAGCTTGCATTTCGAGATCTCGGTTGACGTCCTTCTAAAGATGCATGAAATCTGTCAGCAAGTTCTGGTCAATCTTTGGAAGCATGGTGCACAGCATTGACTTCACAAGAAGAAAGCACAGGATAGAAGTCAAATTGGAAGCACGCAGAGGCTGCACTTGCAATAAGAACACGCTCAGTTAGTCCTGCGGGATTTCCCAGCTTTCTCAATGAGACAAACCCTTCGAAGACAAAGTGACAGACGACCAATATATCCCGAATATCTCTTTTTCCCAGGTTCTGTTGCACCGGTTGCTCAACGCCCGGGGCAAATACCGCCGGGCCGAGTGGCAGGAGCACGAGCGCCTCCACCGGTTACGGATGACCCAAGTCTCCCGGTACGGTTCCCCGACCCGATTGCACAAAACCCAAATCCAAACCCAAAGTCAAACCCCAAACCCCAGACCTCCCTCCCGGTATGGATCCCCGACCCCGCCTTCGCGGCTCGGGGTTTTGAAGTCGCTGTCGCGGCCGGCTTCTCCCGAGCCGCGGCCGCCTTCGCCGCTTTTAGAAAGGATGCTCGCGCCGTTGGGGGCGACCACGATGCCCCAATCGCCGGAGGTTGGTCGCCCCAGACCGCCCGAGAAAGTGTTGCGGGTCCCCCGGTTGGACCTGACGGCGGCGATCGCGTATCAGGAGGGAGGGGGCAGCGCAGGAAACAGCGAGGAAAAGGTGAGTCGGAGAGTCGATCCATGACAGAGAGCAGGAGTCCGAAGGACGGACAGCTCTTTTATAGATACTTGCAGAGGTGTCTACCTGTAGCAGAGATGCGGAGAAGCAGTATAATATCCTGTTCGATGATCTTGACAGATTGTTTCGGCGGTACAGGATTCAATTACTTTTCCAAGAAAGTGAAGCAGATGCAGGAAGTGAGCATGTTACGAAATCGTCGTCAGCTTGTCGAACGTTTCTCTGAGTAGAATCGTTACGCGCTGCTTCTGGCCTCAGTTTGAGTCGCTTGATCCGCCCCCTTCTCCGCAGGGTCTGAACGAGAGCCAGCCGCCCCAGAAAGCGTCCACCTCTAGTTACGGCGCGCCCCAAGCAGTGCCCGGGGGTTCGAAGAATCGCCCACACACGGCGATGCCCTTTGCCAGTAAGAATCTGCAGTACGTCCCTAGTCCGGTGGATAGCGACACGGAAAGCGAATCAGACTACTCAGAAAGGTTTACGGACGAAAGTAGTGTTAATGCGCGCGAAACAAAGGACGCGGCGCGGCCGCCTGTCCGGAAAGTCCGGATAGCCAAACAGGAACGGACTTGGGTCACGTGAGTACATTGATGTTCCTGTTACATAAAAGCTAGAAGCGCTCGCGTCTGTAGAATTGCTTTTAGTGCTGGATAAGGAGACCGATTCTCCAAAACGTCAAATGAATTGTAGAAGGGAAGCTTAGTAATCAATCATAGTCAATGTATAACCTATAGGTTGCAGGTTGTCAAGTGTCAGGGCACAAACAGAGTAACTAGCTGTTTCAATCTAGCCAGCATTCATGGTGACCTGTGTGCAGATACCGATATTGCAATGCTGCATGTTTCACATGCGTGTCATGCGGCTGCATTAAAGAATAGATGAACGGTTTTTTCAGATTCCACGGCGGGCCCGCAGCTCTGACTCAAGTATCGCGTTCATGTGCGACTCCAACGATGATATCCTCTGCAGATATCGCGGTGGTTCCGAGTACGTCAGATTAAGTACGTCACATGCATGGCTATATTATCGAATCAGCTGGCACATGCCGAAATCGGCCTACTAAGCTATTATGTAGTCCGGGCGGCCGCCGTACGTTTTGAGGGAATCTGCAAGCCTATAGTGAATAATCGGCGCATTCACCAATTAAGTATTGCATGCTAAGTTCGTCATGCACATGTTACAAAGTCAGTAAAAGTCATAGCCCATGAGTATCCTATATAAGTCTCAGTGGCCGCGGCCGCCGGTTCAACTTCGGATGTCACAACCCTTGAGTCTCCAATTGTACGGTATGGAGGTGGAACTTGAATGACGAATATATTCGTCATAGACTCGATGGCATTGATTCGATTATCCATGCAAGCGTGAATGACCATGCTTCCTGCAAGAAATGATCACGAAGGACTGCCTCAATACTTGACTCGTAGTGCTGCAATAACTGAGAAACTATCGTATGACTATCGACTCTCCCAGTAATGGTTGACACAACGACCACGCGTCCAAGGCTGTTATGTCGAAGAAAGCTGAGCTCGTCGGTGTTCACAACTGTGACATATGGATGCCGAAATGATCATGCGCGGAAACGAGCCCTCTGTATGCAAAGCTAATTTCCTAGTTATTGTCTCCGACCAATTCCTCGGACACTTGTGGTTTACAGCTTGCTAAGTGAATACAGTGCGAGCTCACAACACACAAATCCTCTGAAAGTGTCATTTGGAAGTACTCTAAACTCTTGCTTTTGCACCAACTGACTCTGCTCTCGTTCCGCCCGACAACCTTCCCCTAAGGTGGCTCGCAGACAAGACAACAGGTCTTCGTAGTGCTGGCATTTCTATCAAATGGTCAGCTCATCAGACGCAATCTGCGGATCCTGGATAGGCGTGCTTATGAGGACCCGCGAAATCGATATGGCACGCTCCGAATCGTTGACAGTCGCTTAGGTCAATCAAGACCATGCTCGTTTGCATATTCAGTGAATCTTAGGCCGCTTCGCAGCAACTGGTACGTCTGCTGCGCAATCGCCCTGGCACGCTGGCGTGTCTCCACCATGGTTGAATGCAACCGGCTGCAAGCAGGGTGGACGCACCTTTGTAGAAAGGTCACTACAAAGACTGATAGTAAAGCACCCCTTTCTAATTGAAAACAGGATAGATGTTCGCAGTCTCGGTTTGTGTTCAGGTCAAAGAGCGGATCTCACAAAAATGTGTTGAGAATTACGGACCCACCCGCTAGAAAAGGGTCATATTATTGCTGAAATTCGTGACTTGAAAAGTGCCTCGCTCCAAGCGAGCAAAATGCGTCTTGGACGTACGCAAAGCGGATCGTATGAGCTTTGCATAAGGGGGGATCCGAAGCATCTTATACGAGAGATGTCTGTCCAGGAAAACTGCAAGGGCAGGCTCACCGGTCGCTCAGGGACGATTGCGTATCTCTCCGCAGGAGTCGCCAAGGCTGCAGAAAACAGAGGCCAATTCAGCTGCGAGTAACAACACCTTCCCAGAATCGGAAAGCCGAAGCAGAACCCCGAAACCAAAACATCCCCTCAAGCGAGCTGTCCACATCATCCCCGAACAAAAGCTCACACACGAACAGTGTTCCACAAAAAACTCTGTGTTTCTTCGAGATCAATTGCAGTCAAGACCGCCAAACCAGGACCCTCGATAACAAATCCCCTCAACCATTACCGCCCGAAAGAGAACCCCGAACCACAGAGGTCCTTTCAGGAAACCCTCCCTCCACGCCAATCTCGTATCAATCCCCTCGAAGTAGACCATTGCACACTTGCATCAGCCTTGCCCTTGAATGCGGCCACAGGACCGCTTCAGACCCTCCCAAACAAGACCCTCAACCAAACCCCTCCACAGCAGAACCCCAAAGCAGACCCCCAAGGTGGCACCTTTCCGGAAGCGCCAACTATTCGCCACCCACCAGACACTAGCACGAAAACGGAAACAAGCAACCAGCACGAAAACGGTAACCAGGCACTAGCCGTCCCGGAGCCAAGCGAATGGGGCCCTAACAGCCCGTCCAAAAAAGACACTCAGGCGGACCGCAGAGGGACGACCAAGAATCGCAGCGCTGCCGTTCAGATTTTGACGTCGAAGAATGAACGTCCGAGATCTTTTGTTTACACTTGGTTAGGCATGGTTTATTTGAACCTAGGTATCGAAACCGGTCCTACTAAAGTTAGCAACCCGCTGGCTAAACTTTGCAGACTGGAGTCCCTATATTTGAATCGGACGGTAGCGCTGCGATTTCGACCATCGCGAAGTTCTGCGGTCCGCCTGCACTGCGCACCTGCATCCGCGTTGAACTTGGAGAAGGCGAGGCCCCGTGCGGCCTGCCCGTCCTTGCTGAGCGCCTCGAGCCGCTTGGGGACACTGCGGTCGACGTTGTCCCCGTGCCCGAGCTGACCGCTCGTGCCGCGGCCCCACGTGTACACGTTCCCGGCCTCCGTTATGCACGCCGTGTGCCGCCAGCCGCACGCCACCGACATTACGCGCTGCGACAGAACAAGAGGGGGTGGCGCGTTTATTTTTATGATATCCTTCTATCTTCTCGAAGAGATCTGGGTTGTTCTTCAAGGGAGAGACGAACGCAGGGACAAAGTACACAACTCGATTACGCGACGAGATTCGATGTTTTCACAGCGAAGTATTGCTTCCGTGCAGAAATCCAGAAGCTGGGCCGTCTTACCTCATGCTCCATACCCTTGACCAGTGCCGGCAAGTTGTGGTCAACGTTGTCTCCGGCGCCAACTTGACCAAACTGTAGAAGCGGGCGGTCCAATCAGTGAGAAGCAGCCGGACATTTGTAAAGGCGGCTTTTAGAGCGGGCATGAAAACAGGCAAATCCGTTCCACTATCGCATGTCCAGGATCGAGACCGATGGAAATCGGACGCCGTCGAACTCTACGGGCTGGCGTCCCTCGGATCTCGCTGCCCACATGGGGACCGCAACGTACTCAAATTTATTATTTATTTTTAAAGATAATTCAGCGGAATAATTTAGCGGAATGATTTGGCGGAGACGTATTTATTCAAAATTTTAATTCATATACTTATATTTGTATATAACAGAGAGACGTATTCAAAGGGACAAATTACACCGTTGGTTGAGGAACTCGGGCGACTCTGGTCGAGCATCTGCCTGTGGTTCGTGCGCTTCTCTACTTACAACTGCATGTCAAATGTTTTTCTGTCGATCAGACAGCCATTCTGCCACTAGAGCAATTCAACCCACTCGTTGGAAAGACAGGGCGAATGCTTGGGCCTCACAGTCTGCAGGGGCTCGCATGACAACGATACTTATAGAGAACCTGGTTGCTCAAAAGGACCCCCGACGAAGAAAAGGAAGAGATCACACGAGGGGAGGGAACCAATATCAGATCGGCTGCCTACCTTGTTCCATCCCCACGCATACAGCCTGCCGTCGGAGTCGAGGGCCACGGTATGCCTCCATCCGCCAGCAATCTGCATAAAGAGCAAGCGATCCTCACGTTGGCTTCCGGATCGAAACTTCGTCAATAGAAACCTCTTAGAGCCGATATTCATTTTGAAAAGAGGGATGAAATTGCTGAAAGCAACAGCGGCCGTCTCGTCTTCCGAGCTGGCGGAGGAGCGCCTGGAAGTATAGAAGCACTTGGACCTGTGCGCGTCCTGCCATCTTCTTTTCACCTCCCAAAGTCCAGTCAATCCCAGGCTCACAATGGTCCTTTAGCATCGATTTCATGCTGCTCATTACAGGCGCAGACTGTGTATTGAGAAAACGATAGGCATAAGACAAATGGGTACTTCTTAGGCGCAGACCAAGTGGACACAGAGCTGTGACCCAAAAGAGCCGAGACCCTACTCTGGCCAAGGCATAGGGAAGCGGATCGCCCTGGTCGCCGCCTCGGGGCCTACATGGTTAATGTGCATGATTCGGTGACTCGGCCCCCCATCCGAGCGCGGAGGCTTTGAGTGTTGTCGTCTGAGATAACCAACCGGGAGAACGACCGGGATTGTGACCTGAAGCAGTAGAAGGTTACTGCCACGACTCTTCGATGTAGGATTATCAAAGTTTCGGACCAACAAACTCCGAAACGGAAGCCGGATTCCTGACCCTCAAACATGACCTGCTCCGCACGCGCACCCACCCGAATCCACGAAAGTAACCCCACCCGTCCCAGGCTAGCATCTTTCTAGCTTACTTTTCTTCATTTGTGAACTTTTTTGTTACTGCTGCCGCAACCACGCACCTGTCTGATCGTGTGCTCCTGGAGCGCCTCCACCCGGTGCGGCACCAGCTGGTCCTCCTCGTTGCCGTGCCCCAGCTGCCCGTACTTGCTCCACCCGAATGTGTACATGGCGCCCGACTTGGCCACCACGATCGTGTGCCGCCAGCCGCAGGCGACCATCGTGGCTTGCTCGTGCTGGAAAGTAGAACAATTCAAACGACTCGGTAATGGAATTTGTGCAGGTTCAAAGGAATGGTGTAGGCGTGAGGTGTGTGCTCCCAGCCACAGGCGCTTACGTTGATTGCTCCTGCTAGAATTTGGATTCAGTGGCGGAACTTTCGCAGCTTTGCAGCGAGGGAGTGGGCGCTTTTTTTGTGCCGCCAGACTCAGGCGTATTTGGTGGCTTGCTTGTGCTGAAAGAACGCTAGCCGAGTAAGTCAGTACCCTAGCGGATGGTGTGGGCACTGAAGTGTGTGCAACCAACCGTAGGCGACCATCGTGACTTTCTCATGCTGACGGTTGCAGAAGCCAACGAGTCAAAAGCGGGGAATTTGCAGATTGGAAACAATGTGGATTAGTGACCGGGTTCTACGAAGCGGAGTCGCTTACATCGTCGATTCTTTGCAGCAAGGTGGATAGGCAATCTTTTTTGGAGCAGGACGGACTGAGATCCGGTTGACCAGAGTCACTGCGTGCTCTGCTTTGAGCATGTGTTGCTAGCCGATACAGGCAGGAACCTTTTTCTGAAGGCAACACATTTCTTGTCGTGCAGACCAATTCATGCGAGACATGACAGCGCCTGTTCGTGCATGCAGCAAAACGTTTATTGACGTAAGGTACTGCAGGAACCGCTCTGTCTCTTGGTCGAGTTGTCTGCGCACTGGGTCTTGTTTGACACATTCCTGGAACAAGCAGATATCCGCTTTGTCAAGTTGCAGATGACACAACCAAGAACACCACAGTTGCAGATAAGTCAAGTTGTTGCCTGCTTATGTTCATGACAGAGGCCAGCTTCGAGGCTTACCCCAATTGACATAGCCTGCTCCGGCACCAGTCGGTCATTCCTGTCGCCAAGCCCCAGGTTTCCGTACCGGCCCCACCCCCATCCGTACACTTTCCCGTCCTCCGTAACCGCGGCCGTATGCTCTGCGCCAGCTGCCACCATCAGAACCTTCTTTCCCTGTAGCAGAACCTTAAATGACTGAGTTACGCTTACAAACGCTTTCCACAGAGTTAAGCGATGTGGTCGAAGTCAATTGAATGACATGTATGGCACATGTTGAAAGCCTACTTTTGCTGTCTCCCTTTCCTTGACACCTTCTTTTCTCTGGAAAAACAACCCTTGTAAGGAAAAACCTGTTCAGGTTTAACGCCAGGAACGGGAGGGACGACGAACTTCTCAAACAGATTATCGTGGCACTTTCTTCCAGACTCGGTCAGAAGCTATGGACAAGGGAGATCGAGTCCCAAAACTTGAAGGGGCTTACCTGGAATGCTTCCACAGCTTGCGGAACCAATCTGTCCTCTGTATGGCCCAGGCCTAGCTGGCCGTTCTGGTTGCGGCCCCAACTGCATACCAAGAACCGACAGCAGAGGAGTCAACTTCTTCCGCAAGAATTGTCAGATAAATGAGTGGTTGGCACAATGCTCGTGTCCCCCCAAGACAACACTGCTCCAGCGGCATGCCTAAAGCAACCAGACGAGGGGGTTCCATTGGGAACCATTCTCCTTTGAGTTGCTTCATTGGAAGACTTGGCTGTATCCAGTGCTTCAACCATAGCTGGTGCGCCACAGATTGATGGCCTGCTCCACTATCCTAATATTACAGGCAACCAAGATTGCCAAGCTTCCCACAGAAAGCTCCTTGTCAATTTAAACTCTGGGCACTCAGTTCAGGCAGCGCTCAGTTTTGCTGGTCAATAAAAATTCTTCGCACAGATATTGAAGTGGTCAACACGCAATGCAAGCATGGGCTGAAAGCAAAATGATTGAGACATGGTTCTGAACAAAGGCTTCTGGCAAGCTCACCTGCGAACCTCTCCGTCATTGACAATGGCAAGGCAGTGACAGTCGCCACAGGCGATCTGCCGAATCCTAAGACCGTACAAGGCCTTGATAGGATGGGGAACAAAGAGATCTGAGCTGTTCCCATGCCCTAACCGCCCAAAGTCACCCCTGCAGAAGAGAGATAGGGCTCAATGACTTGTTGGCAATTGCTCCTTGGGACTACATACGCTGACCGAGAGAGCGACGAAGGGCAACCTCAACTGTAGCGTGACAGCTTTGCAGCATCAGAGATCCGTGGCCTTGTTCAAAAGCAGGCGTGGTCTACTTTCTTGTAGGGATTTGTTGAGGATTGTGTCAAATGCACGCTCACCATCCCCAACTATACACCATCTTCTTATTCTCCGTCCAGGCTGTGGTGTGGTCTGCCCCACAATTGATCGCAGTGATCTCTGCATCCTTCAACGTCCCTATTATGACGGGAAGCGTCTGTTCCTCAGCATCACCGTGCCCCAACTGCCCGTCCTCCGCTCGGCCCCAGGATGCAACCACACCCCCCGCTGCATGGAGATGCAACCTTTCAGCATTTATCTAATGCGGCTAGCCTTCTGTTTGCTTCATGTTCTCAAGAGCAGCGCCAAAGCCTTGCCATGAACCTCCTACTTGAATGCTTTCGGCATCTGCTGGTTGGGCAAATGAAGGTGGTCAAAAATGTTAGTTCTGATATTTCATTCGCATGCCAAAGCTCAACGCCAGTCCTCAGCAAGTACGTGCAATGTGACGGGAAGCCAAGGAAGTAATTACACCGCCATGCAGAGCAAGCCAATGTCCATGAAGTATGAGCGGGAAGTTCCACGATCTCCACTGATGGACCTTCAGTCTGTCTCTCTTCGCCCTACCTCCTCACTGCTTTCATATTATCTTCTGACAAGAGACCAGAGGAAAGAACTCATGCAACCTCATTAGCTTGCAAACGAGCCAACTCCATAGAGATTATTATGTCACAGAGTGATGGCATGTAGAATGAGATGAAAAGGACGGAAGCAAGTCAAATCACGTTCAATGCAGAACACACAAACCCAAAATTGTTTGCATGAAACATAAGAAACACTGCCTCTAGTTTAAGAAACTGGAACAGCGCGCGTGCTGGTCGCATAGCTAATGTCCCTTCTTTTGCACTCGACGTCATGATCAGTGGAACTCTTCCCAAGAGACAAGGACATACGCAGAAAATTCTGCAATGGCTGACCAACAGTGTAAACATGTTGCAGGTCCACATGCAAATCTCTGCTTTCTTTGCACATTCTGGATACAAAACAAGAGGGCCATTCCCGTTGGTCAACAAAAAGCCTAGGAACACAACCTGTTCTTCAAATGCCCTAACTTTTGAAAACTCATGGAGAATCAGTTTCCCAAATTGGCCGAAATCATGAGAATCACTCAATCTGCAAAAATCAATCAATGACAACCGGTAATGTGCATTTGCAGCTCATCCCAACTATCAGCAAAAGATGTTCCTGGGTTTGTCGCAGGATAAACCGGGGAGAAGGGGCGCTTACATAAAAGAGCGACGGTGTGACTAGCTCCAGCTGAGAGCCAGAGCACCTCCATGCTCCCATCTGCCTTTGGGCCCCCATCCATCATTGCAAACTCCACCTGCCTCTTGGCTACAAAATGCAGTGAATATTTCTGACTGTAACCAGTAGAGTGAGCACAAAACTTCCTGGCTCAAGTCAATGCGGTCCCTGTTTTGGCATACGATTGAATGACACCCTCTTCAACTATTCCTATGACTGTAGAAGCCCTTCAATTCTGGCACAGACAACGAAACCGAGTTCTGCAAGAGTGGTTGGGCGGACTCTGAGCCGCTTGCTGCAATGCAGACCAGACAAGATCCCATTTGCATCGCATCACCAGAGGTAAGCCGCAAGAGAATGCCGTTCGGATTGGTAGCCCCCTAGCAAACTCCACAGCAAAGCCTGTTCATGCGCCCCTTCCGACCAGCGCTCTCTAGACTCTAGTCTTGGCGCTCTGCTGGTCTCCTTCAAGTTCCCTTCGTCAGCAAGAGCGGAGCCATGATTATTTTTCAAGAGCAGGAAATTGCGGGACGCAACTGCGGCGGATAAGGTTGACACAAGCAACTTGTTGGCGTCCGTTCCATACATCATCAGCGTAAAGAGTGTCAAGCCTTCAGGCCCCGTCCGATCTTGACCGATGATCTTCTAAGTCCGTAATGCCACGTGTCCACAAAGCCGATGTGAATACCCTCGAGCGAATCTTCAATAATATTGCCGAATACCTACATAGTACAGGGCTGGTCGCTTGTTCACACTCGCTTCACCACCACCTCACGAAATGCCTGCAAATTGCAATGTTCAGCCTGTGCAAAAGACGGAAGACTGGGACAACCAGCTCCTGCGGCCGCCCTTCCATAGGTATGCCCATATAATAGCAGCATTGGGGTGAAGCGAAGCTGTGAGCTTGAGCATCTTTTTGGCGGCATGGCAATGCAGCGGATTCGCTTTCTGGGACGATTGAAGGGAAGCTTGGAACTCACCACCAGCATTACCGAGGTGGGTTTGCTTCGCCAACTTCTCCGGTTGAAGCGTCTGCGATTGTTGAAACATTTGTAATTGCAAATATTTGTCGTCAGAGTTCCCAGGCGCTCAGCCGAAACTCCAGAAACCGCAATATCTGAGGGGAGTGCTTCGCATATGTCTGTCTTACTGGCCCTTGCCACCATTTGGCATTAAGTATCCTACATCATAAGGTCTCTGATATCCGGCAGTCGCAGCAGTTGAGTCAAAATTATGAGTATCATCTATCAACGCACTGTGCAAGCCTCACTTCAGAATGTTTCAGTTCTCAACTAACTTACCACGTTGCTCTCTCTTCCACCGTGCTCCGGAAAGGGTGCTTTGGGAGGCTTGCCTGTGCGGAAAAAGACTTGCTGGCAGCAGTACTTTTCTAAGGTTTCCACCAGTGCACTTTCCGCCAGCTTCCGAGAATTTCCGGTTAGATGCTCAGGAAAGTTATTGGCGTCAAGCAAATGCAAATACATCTGCGCCAAAGTTGCTGCACCTTGTTTGAGCGAAGAATCTGGCTTCCTTCTTTCTTTGCAGCTGCTCTGGGCAGGGGGCGCCCAGTCTTCACTAGAGTGCCCCCCCGGCGCTCGTGGCTTTGCGAAGGCTCTCAATCAGAAGCTCAATGTTGTCCTGAAGGAGGTGAGACTGCACAAACACGATTTGTATTTTCCCCTGCAAATGGTTTGGTTCTTGCTGTGGAAATGATGCGGATCTTACCTTGGCCTTGCCAACTTTCTTTGATGTGTTGTACAGAAGTCCCTACCCCATCTGGGAATCTGATCGATGTAGTGGTGGTAGGGTATGGATATAGCTAGACATCTCCTGATGGTGTTGCAGAGTAACTGTATTAATCAGACGAGGGTGGCTTGTTGACACTACTATTGATATCGAAAGACTCCGGGCCTTTGAGGCCGTCAGCCTCATTTTGCTCCACTCTTTGATAAGCAACGTTGAGCCGAGTTCAAAAGATCTGCTGAGAAAATGATGTGGACTGGTTCAAAGAAGAGAACTCAAACAATGTCAGATCAGAGATTACAGATCAGATTGGATCAAAGATTGAACAACGTCCCTTCTTGTTCCTCAGGACGTCCAAGGGGTGGGGCAGGCTGGGGAGGTGCTGTCGGTGGCTGCAGGCTTTGCCCGGAACTTCCTGATCCCGCAGAGGAAAGCACTGCCGGGGCTGGAGAAGTATGTCCAGATGGCACACACCTTCCGACTGGTGAGGGGACTTATTCTATTCTCCTTCTGTCCCTACTTATTGAGGTCGTTGTGACCACAGATGACAGCCGGTCAGAAATTCAATTTGTGCCTGCCGACATATCTTTGCAGGTAGCAGGGCCCTTTCATTGTTGAAGGGTTTGCGCATAGTAGAAGATTGCTCCAAAGGAAGCGGGTTCCTCCACTATTTGAGGATATACTTCTCGGCTTCGTCAAACTCAATGAAGGGGAAAGGGATAGAAAGCCCGCCCATTCTTTCAATATAATTTCAAAACATTGCGGCAACAATCAGTAGCCTGCGTAAACAGGCTTTACCGATTCTGCTTGAGTAAACTCTTGGACGACCATTCACATACAACAGATGCTCTTTTAGACGAACTTGTCTTTCCTCGCTGTCTGCACCTTTGTTCGAACTCGAAATTAATTCTGGACGCAAATGTTGTAGTGTTGGGACAAGCTGTCACGCTGACTGGACACCTTCTGGGACTCTGACACGGGTCCTTGACGTTCCGACACCCTTCCAATAATCATATCTCCTTATCGGAATTGGCTGATTGCCACTTACAGACAGAAGGGAGCACCTGATTGCTCATTTCGTTGGACATATTTTGAACCTTGTCGGACATCCGGACACTTGCAGGACGATAACGTGGAGGTGCTGCAGCGGCGCGCGGGGCAGGCGGACGCGGACAACCTGGAGAAGCAGCGGCAGCGGATACGGCGGGAGCGGGAAAAGGTCGTGCGGCGATTGACGTCTACCAAAGTGGTAAGATATGGTACCAATCTTTCGTCCTTGTATCTTTTGGATATAGCTTTGTGAGATGGTCGCCCGACAATAGCAGAGACGAGAGGATGGTAGTAGAGATACGAAAGCTAGCTCTTTCGAGGAGCTCAGGATGCTGACGGCGACCAAAGTGGTGGGACCCGGATTGCTCAATACCTTCGGTTGTGCTGGTAAGGGTTTGCAGAGTGTCCTTGAGAGCAGTTGAGGACAAAAGGATCGAGTCGAGTATTCAGGCAAAGACCTGCGTTCTTGGACGCGGCACTCATGTAGACTTACTTGCCCGATATAAGTTAAGGTTTGCCGACTGGTTCTGCGAGCATTTCTCGTTGAGCGAGTGACCCCTTGTCTACAAAGCTGCGCCTGACCCCCAACACATTCCTTGCAGGTTTTCTACCGCAACCTGAACAAGACTGACCGCCTCACCCTTCTTACCCCAGTCAATGCGAAGGACATTGTTGCCGAGGTACGTTTCTGATCAGGATCCCTGTCAAGCCGAAACGTTCGAGGCGTCTAAAGCCTCTGTTGCTGCGACAAACTTCCCCTCTTAGAACGCTTTGATATCGTTGCAAGCGGATCAGGAGCACGTTGGGACCGCAAGTCATCCAGTTCGACGAACGAAGTTTTGGGGGTGGCCGTGCTGAGGACGCGTCAATCAAGCAGACAATCAAAAAGCACATCGCTGTCGGCGGAAACGCAACGTTCATATTGCCCCTCTGTTGGAAGGGTAGATAAGCTCAGATTCAGTGACGCTTTGCGGTGCACTTTTTTGCTGCTCTTCGCGGTTGTAGGATGGAGCTCTTTCTGTGCTGGCCTGCAGGCTGCCAAACCAGCAGGTCTAAGTCCAAATGTTTGGCATACTTTGAAGCCGAACATCTTCGTGATTCGTCAGCGCTTTTCCTCGTTGCAGGTAGAGCGGCAGTTGCGGATCTCCATGCAAGAGGAATGCATCCGGCTCGCCCAACCCATCACCGGCCTTGGAGACTTTGAGGTCCCCCTCTTGTTGCCGGAAGACGAGGTTGCACAAGAGCTTCAACAGGCCTTGTTAGAAGAAGGGAGCCAGGATTCGTATGACGAGGAGGACGAAGGGCGGCAAAAACAGCTGGCCATCACAGTCCGAGTTCGGAGAAAAGGCAAGACCGGGACAGCGAAGGGAGCGTCCTAGTAGATGTGGCGCGAAGAACTTCGGAAGTTGTGCCAAGCACGTTGCTTGGTTTGGAAACAGCGTTTTCGGTCCATGACCGAGATGCGAGGGGTTTTTAGTATGCGGTTCGGCGTTCATTCGGTCGACCCTTTGCTCCAGGATTCGAGTTGAAAGTTTCTAAGAATCTTGTGCAAAGGCTGGTGTTTTGCAGATATGGCTTGACAGATTGCATGCCAGCCAGGATACTGGCGCCCTATGTAGGCGGCCGCAGTCTGTAAGAGACACACATGGATCTCCGTTCACCTTGTCTAGCGGCGTGACAGGCGGCTGCCTGCCAAAAAGGGGCATCGTCATAACCTCCATGTTCGAAACGGGTATGCTTATTGGAGGTTAAGGTTGCAGTCCGGCCGCCGCTGCAGCGTGTGCTATACTATTTGACAACATTTTCTGAGCTCAACCGCATTCCGCGGCAGCATTCAACAAGTCCCACACAGGCTCGCGAGCCTACAGGGTCTCCGAGAATGGTCACCGAGCCCACACGGGATATCTCAGACAAGGCTCGCATCATGAAACTGAGAGTGATCATTGTTGAATGCATGGACAACATGATGCGCATACGTGCCACAAATGGTCGATTCGATATAACGTCTGCAATATATACCAAAAGTCACAATTCGAGATTCCCAGCTATCGAGCATAGATACATACCAACCATAATATGATTCGAGCATACCGCAATCAATTGTTCGTGGCGGAACATGCGCATGAACAATCGAACATGCAACTTAGCATGCAATCGTTTAGCCGCGCCCCATGAGGCCCCCGGGGCGGCCAGGCAACCACGCATCAGCCCTAGTACGGTACCTATAGAATTTGGCAGGTTCCTAATGATCCTGTCGGATCCGATCGGGCTGTGCGCGGCGAACATTGGCACATAAATTATCAGAAAGCTGCGTGCCGGATCACTAGGGTTTCATACATACATCAGAGCGATTCGTCCGACGTGCACTGGACTTCTGAATTCAGACGTCATAGTTTGAAAGGCAGCATGCATGGCGCAGCATTGATGAGACATTTGCTAACTTGACCTTGAGGTCGTCATGCGCATACCAAGGGTGCATTTGCAGACCTTGGCCTTCCAACTCATTCTCGCTTCCATACAGACAGGTTTAGTATACCTTGCACCAAGCAAGTGCCAATCTTCTTTCCAAAGCAGGCAGACTGCTCAGAGCAGAGCCGTTACCTTTCCCCCCTCTTGTTCAGCATCTGATTCCATTCCGTGCAGCAAACGCCCCATTATAAGAAGACAACCTAGGCCTCCTTTGTGATGAACTTGACCTTGATGGGCATCTTTTGCGCAGCAATCGCCATAGCCGCCCGCGCCACCTGTGGTGACACCCCCGCCATCTCATATATGATCCGCCCCGGCTTTACGACAGCCACCCAATGCGACAGGGACCCCTTTCCGGACCCCATACGAGTTTCCGCCGGCCGCATCGTGATGGGCTTGTCAGGGAAAACCCGGATCCAGATCTTGCCACCACGACGGGCGTAACGAGTCATCGCCCTACGTCCCGACTCAATCTGGCGGGCTGTGATCCATGTTGGCTCCTGAGCCTGTAGAGCAAAGCTCCCGAAGGCAATGGTGTTCCCCCGCGAAGCCTTGCCCGTCAACCGGCCCCTGTGCTGCTTCCGGTGCTTCACTCTCCGAGGGCTGAGCATGCTCCGCACGACGCCCTGCCGACAGGATTAGCGGAAGAGTATCAGCAACCCTGTGGATATGCGCCGACCAACTCCTGACCACGTCTTACACCTTCCTTACTCGACATTGATGTGTTTCGGGAAGATGAGTGCTTGGCTCGTGCTTGGCTTGTGCTGAAAGAGGACATTCTTCAAGGTGCTGTGCCCCTATTTCAATATGTTCCAAAAGAGCAAATAGCAAAAAAGATCCACAAAGCAGATGCACTATCATTAAAAGGTTGGTCTTACAAAGCTCCTGTTGCGAGCAGTGTACCAAACTTCGACGCACGACCAGCGAAGAGCAGGGGGCTGAAAGAACTGAGTAAGCATCAAGATGCCATGAGACAAGATGTTGAATGGACCGTTGAAATTAAGGTACCAGCCAGTCTTTTCTTTGGTTACTCGCGAATGGTCGGATCCTTGCAGTTGCCTTCACCAGCTCAACTTTAATGCTGACTCCTACCACCACAGGTCGTTGATCTTTGAGTCTGCACAAGGGGCCTTTGCAGATACTTGAAAGTGCTCTTAAGGTGGTGCCAGCTTCCACAAGGTTGGAACATCTTATGAGCCGTCACCTCACCGGCTGTGAAGCCGCCCCACTGTCGGCCTCCTCGGGCTTTACCACTGGGCTGCTTGGGCGGACAAAAGGCATCGCCACATTGCTCCTCTGGACGAAGCTGCTGCGGCTGAGCTGAGAAGGCCGCAGGTTTGCCCTGCGATTGCAAGTAGCTCGGGTCTACGTATACAATTGAGGAGGTAGATGCCCTGGCCAGGCCCTCGTCTTCATAGTGAGACTCGTCATTGTGTCATGCTTGCTTGAATTCAAGCAAACCCCTGTCTTCATAGTAAATCCAATCATGGTATCATGCTTGTTCGATAAGCAATGCACAACGACTCGGCGGCGCTGTTCCCATACTCTATTCCAGAGTAAGTGCTAGCAATCAACATAGAAGGTTTGAGGGATGGACAGAACCAATGCACTGACGAGCAAACCCCTGATTGCTTTGAGGGACACCCTGTAATAAACTTGCAGCGCGCACTCAACACGTGTGTTTCGTATCCTCTGCCTTACTTGGCACCCTAAGCCACCATACAAGTCACCCCCGTCAGTATGGCTTGACGTCCGGAAGAGACCAACGATCATTGCATTCAGTCAGGGTGGCCAAACGAGACTGGTAATGACACGGAAGGGGCAGGAGACATCCAGTTGCTGATCCTCCGGCTCTGCTGCTAGCGGTGGCTCACGATGAGAACCTTGAGATGAACCGACTTTGATATCGCCCCTGAAATGCGAACCCTTTCCTTCTGGGTGGAAGCTTGCCAGGCTCAAAACATGAAGCAGGCAGGGGGACGAGTTCTCTTACCTGCCAAGCAGCGCGGCGCTTCTGCAACTCTCAAGAGGCCTTTGTGCCACCGCCCTCTGGCCAGTAAAGGCCCTGGCAGCGCAAGACGAGGACAACGACACCGTAGAAGACGCCATCCGGTCCACCCCAGATGTTTACAAGAAAATGCAGCGAAACCACCACCGTCCCTGATGCTTTTCACTACCCCGCTGCTAAACTTGCCAGCATTACCCTCTGCGAAAGGGACGCCTGCACCACTGCAACACCTTGCCCAATGCGCCTGTTCTCTCAAGCTTGTCCTTCCCTCCTGCAGGTCCAAGGGTGTGACTCCGTCCCTTTTTGCTGCGTCTACTTTATTGATTTTTGACACCAGCAGTTCAACGTCGAGTCCTTTGCTGCTGACACAAATCCTGAAGTTTCGGTTTGTGTATTTCATGACATATAAAGTGTCAAGTTTTAACCTGGAAAAGAAGGAAAGCAACCAAGTTCGCATTCATCCACGACTCACGAGGGTGCAGCAGCAGACGTGCAGCTTGTTGAAGTTGGGAAAGGGAGGCCGAGGTGGATTGCCCTGTTGCGCACTGTTCAGGGGGCAACGCAGGATCCTTCAAATGCAAGCGGAAAGGAGAGCGGATTAGGTGAAGAAACGCAAGCCCCGGTTTGATTGGAGTCTGCATTGCTCCAAACGATGGCGTCCACAGCGGCCGTCAAAACCCTGTGTGTCGCGTCGAGCAGCATCAGCAAGGCAGCGTCCCATGCTTCCGGCGCTCCTTCCGCCATCTTGCCGGCCCCCTTCTTTGGCCGCGCTCTGACTGGTTCAAAGGCATGCTCGAGCGCGTTCAGTGGCCGCCAGTTGGGCCTCTCAAGATTTACCACAAGTGGGAGGCAGTGTGTGATGGTTGCTGATGCCCCAAGCAAAGATACTGAGGAGGCAAAGCCGCCGTCTTATTACATGAACTTTGAGCCACCGGCGGATATTGATGAGTTCACCCGGGACTTCATGAACAGCACCCTTGAGGACGAGGACCCCGAGTATGACACGATGTGGAAGAAGTTTTTCTTTGATGAGGACGAGGAAGTTGGTGAGTGTACGGATGCTTCCTGATGCAGAAAGAGAATCCCTGTCACTTTTGGAAAAGCGACATTGATGAGTAGTGTTTGCTGGCTCTTTGACTAGGGAGGTGGGATTGCCTGCCACCGGGGATGTCCATTCTGAGTTACATTTGACCTCCGGTATCTCCGGTTCGCGAGTAGGCTCTCGAATGTGCACCTCTGGTAATGGTTGAGCGCCTGCATTGGCATGGCTGCTCCTGGTAATGCTTGAACGGACAGGAGTGAGCTGCAGAGAGCAGGGTTTTGTTGCACTCGTGACTGCCTCGGATGCAAGAGTGAGAGCACTATCATCAGCGAGCAGAGGTGGTTTATGATGGGCATGAGCACTTTGACGCCTCTGTGGGAGTGTGCAAGCCAAATGCACGGGTTTGTAGGGGACAGCTACTGGTCATCATATGCACTCCGTCTGAATTGCTCCGTATTCACAAGGATGACAACTCCAATGTAGAGGACTGCATTAGGGTTTGCTGCTTTGCCCTGTCGCTATGAGCATCAACAGGGGTGCTACACTTTAGCTCTTAAGAAAATGCTCAGGGCAACATATGCCTCTTGTCTGATGTCTACAGTCTATTATGATCAGTGGTAGCTCGAATGCGTGTGCAGAGGGTCATCTCGTTGAAGCATGAGTCATGCAGCCTCCGGTTCTTCAATAGAGGAATTGTAGACCTTGCTCGCTTGCACGTTCCCTCTTCAACATAGAACCTGCACTCTAGTCAGAGGAATTGAGTGACGAGTTAGCAAAGCACTCAAGGACACACACATAAGTTCTCCTCTTCCACCTGAATGAATCGTCATTGTCTGTTGAGCACAAATTCGATTGAGATGACGCAGTTTGTCTGTGGAAGTTGCTGGAACGCTGGCCTCCTCATGCGGTTGATATTGCTTACCTTCTCCCAAGCTGACCGATGGATTCCTTTGTTGTTCACGTCCCTCTTTGACTAGTGGTCTCCCTGCAGCAGCACGCGGAGGCAGACAAATTCTGCCTGTCAGCAATTGGCAGGTTGAGTGCGGCCCGTCCAGAGTTTCAGAGGTTTCTGAAGTGCACCCAACCACCGACTTGAGGGCAATCAACCGTATCAAACGAGTGCGCTGACAGATTTGCTTGTTCCACTGGTTGCAGTTGAGGCGGTGGATGACGAAGAGGACGGCATCAAGCGGCTGCGCCCCCCAGAGCGCCGTAAGAAGGACCAGTACCAGGAGAACGTGGTTCAGGTCTCTCGGGTTAACAAAACGGTTAAGGGAGGGAACCAGCTGAGCTTCCGGGCCGTTGTCGTCATTGGGGATGGCAAGGGCGCCGTTGGAGTCGGTGTCGGAAAGGCGAAGGAAGTGATGAACGCGGTGCTGAAGGCGGGGGTGGATGCGAGGCGGCACATTATCAAGGTCCCGTTGAACAAGCAAAAGTCGATCCCCCATCGGATGGAGGGGCGGTACGGGGCAGCCAAGGTGCTGTTACGGCCGGCGCCTCTGGGGACGGGTGTCATTGCGGGCGGTTCGGTGCGGACGGTGCTCGAGATGGCGGGCGTCGAGAACACCTTCGGAAAGCAGCTTGGGAGCAACAACCCGCTCAACAACGCGCGGGCAACGCTGGTTGCGATCGGAAACATGTTCGACAGGAAAGAGGTGGCTGAGTTCCGGAAGGTGCCGATCGAGAGCTTGCGGGTATAGAGGGCGTGTTGGTCTCGAAGTGGGTCTGCACAAGACCCTAGGTAACCGAAGATAGAAAGATTGAATGTCTAAACGGAAGGTGATGAGCATCGTTTTCGAAAAGTTCGATGACATGACCCCTTGATGCTGAACATGTATGCTCCTAGCGATGACAAGCCTTAAAAGCACTTTTCCAAGAAGGGTGCCGAGTCTTTGCAATGGACAGCACCCTATATCCTCGCTAAAAGACCACTGGCCCAAGAAAATATTGCAGACGTCGAAACGGCCGGATTGGACGTTTGTCCATAGATTTCACATGGATGCATTCCCTGCCATGCAGAACTTTGTACCCTTCACGATGGTCACTTTTCATACTCGTCGTAGCCACTAGGCCATCTAGGCTTGATACCGCACTGCAGTTGAAGCACAAAGCTTCGTGGCCGCTTGGCCAGCCTGTTACTAGCTATATTTAAGTATGTCAATCCACGGTTGTAATTAATATATCCGATCGTACATGGTATGTTTTTGACGTTGAGTAGCTAGAGAGAAATCTGCTCGATCCAGCCCGCTGGATCGAATACGCAGTGCATCATTGATTCAACCATATACTACGTGAATTCTGCACTACATCGCTGCCGGAGATAAGCTACGTAACTCCTCGTCCGTAGGAATTCTGAATTGGGCCTCGCAAACCGTGGCGGTCTTGTAGGTACGATCATCATATGCATCATTTTGGCTGGCGGCCTGGCAGGCTCATGAGCAGATCCGCGGCCATGTGTGTTGTCAGCTGGCAAGATACTATAGACATGACGATGATCAGGTGTGAACAAACGCCAGCCTGTGGATATTGAAGAACAAAACCGATTACATGGTCTGGCCCGGCCTGCCAATGAGGTGCCAGGATGTCACTAAAGATTTGTAAGTCACTTTGTGCAGCCTGGCTTTCCGGCTCTCAAACAGTGACGCATCCTCATTTGCATGGCCGAGTAACTTTGTGATTGACTGAGCTCGACCGCACGCCCCTTATTAACAAACGTGTCTAGCACGCTCACACCAAATAATCAGATCACGGCCTCGCGATATAACTCAACACACAAAACCGTCACCGGACCTTTAGAGTTTCATGTCCACCATCCTATGAGCTGCAAGCTTTGAAAGGCTTCAGACTGTACTTCTAGCTGATCTAAATCTACAGAAAACATTGGTTCATAGGACTCAATAATGGGTAACTACATCGCCTCAGGGTAACCCAACGAAGTCTTCCAAGAATGGTCTCCCCAAGACCTTCTCCCAGTCCGACTGCTTTGCTTTCAAAAAATGGATGCTTCGACTGGGAACTACCTAGCTAGCTCCCTCTTGAGATTGCTGTGTTGCCTTTAGGTGTATGAAGTTGACAATCTCTTCGCCACCCCACTCTGCAGAGACGGAAAAGCTTCAGTCGTTGTGTACCGTTCTCTAATCACAGCAGCTTTAGGTGACTGCTATGTAACAGCGTGTTAGCGAGCAGGTTGGACAAAAGTCCACCTTCGGCGACTGAAGGCCAAGTTTTTCACTTTCGTGGTCGCCTTACTTGATGCCAAGAGATCATTTCCGCAAGCAACCGCGACTGCAAATATAACTGCCTTGCAAAACGCCGGCAATCTTGGTTGCTGAACGCCCGCTTTCAGCGTCACAAGACTTCACCAGCCTGCTTGACCGTCCCGCTTCGACAGACGGCCATCTCCAAAGCCCCAACCAAAGACTTACAATTGTTATGATCGTTCGGCTTGCTGGACGGACTGGAGCCTCTAACCTCTACCTAATTGACTTGAAAACGAGACAACATCTGACAGAACCCCAAAGAAAGAGCTTGAGCCATACGCTGCCAAACGAAGCTGCTCTAAAGTTTACGTACAACCTTCAGTGACATCCAGTCCGCCATCTTCAAGGCTGTTGTCAATCGTATGCCAAGCTTAAAATTGTGCTCCTTATTGACTTGTTGATCCTCCCATTCTCGTGGAAAAAAAGAGCACTATGCTTGGAAGACGCGTATGCATCAAACACCTAGCCATGACTTTAGCACCTCGTTTCGTTCCCCAGGAGGTAGACATGATCGAAATCTCACCTTCAGCGTAATCAATAGCTGTCCCTTTGTCGTTTGACATCGCGAAGACGTCAGCCCCCCGGTCGATCAGCAGGTTCGCCAATCGGACGTCGCTCTTGATGCAAGCGAATTGCAGGGCGGTGTTTCCGGACGCGTTGCGACCGTCGATTTCCGCACCGTTGTCCAACAAAAACTCGGCAACTTCAGGGTGCTGCGCAGGGGATGGTAAGGTCTGGTTTTGTTCCAAATGTTGAGAAACAGCAAAGCCTTCGTCTCTGCTTCTGGTATGTGCGCAGGGAGCGCGGAGGAGTTCATTCCTGAGTGTCCTGCTTGAGAAATGCAGAATACTCGGAAGAGGCCAAGCGTTGGCTACAGTGCGAGACAAAGCAAAGACACCACAAGTCAGTTTGGGGTGCTGCCATGGAGATGGAAAGACTTAGTGGAGTTTTACCATGAAAAGCAGCAAGAAAAAGAAAAACATTCTCGTCAATGTTAGGGCCCTGCGAAACAAGGGCAACAGGCTCTGTATTATGTGGACAATTTATCAACCATAGGAAACCGATTGAGGGAATCGCATCCAGAATACCGCTGAAAGTTGCCTCGCCTGTAGAGCAAAGTTTGTAACCCGCAAATTCTTTCAGGCCTGCTAGAACAGGGAGATTTTATCTTTCTCTCTTAAACTCTCTTTGGGCAAACCGTCTCCGAGGCCCCTATGCAACCAGGGCAAGTTGGGAGGTTGGGAGAGGTAATGCTTCCCTACCAACAATGCGCCCTTTTTCCAGGATCTCACAGGTAAGCGCCCTCTAAACTTCATTCAGGCAGGACACAACAAAACACTTGATCATGCAAGCTGTGGGTAGTCAAAGAGCTTTCAGATCAGTGGCAGGTGTATGCCTTAGGTTAAACGAAACTTTGGAAGGGGTATTCTTCTAGATACAGCCAACACATCTACAGCATATACAAGGGAACTGCTTTCCTGCAAAGAAGACCCGCAGTTCTTACTCGCCCAACTGTGACTGGCCTTTATCTGCGGATACCTTTACTGTGAGGAGTAGTCTCAGGAATACAAACACATTTATCGAAATACGTTGTTTTTAGCGACAAGCACAACGGGAGCCCATGCCTTGCTGCTCATAAAATGATGCTCAAGTTTGTCAGCTGTCAATGTAAGCATGATACACAGACTGAAGTTGGCTCTGAGCGAAGAAGAAAATCAATGTACTCTGTGCATCCAAGTGCCTGTTCCCTCGAACAAGTGGAGGAAGCTTAAGCAAGGCAAGAAATCTGTGGAGCTGGGTTGGTTCTTACCTGGTAAAAGACACTAAGTTGAAGCGCAGTCCAACCTCCCTTGTCTGGATTTGGCTGGTTCACGTCAATCCCTCCGGAAGCAAGCAGCTCTTTGCAGAGCCTTAGGTCGCCGGACTTGGCGGCTTCCTGCTTGGGAGGAACAGCGCAATTTTAAATTCTTTGGGGATTCTGTGTGTGTTCCGACGGATTGATGCAAGGTCAGTAGGCGTGTGCAAAAGCATGTGCCATGGTATTAAGTCCTTGATTAAGCCGAGCTTCCAATCCTAAGAGTAGGAAAAATGACTCGCAAAAGGATTGGGCATGGATTACGTGGCTGCATGAAGCAAGTCTTGGTGCTCTTCAAAGAGAGTTGACCTACAGTGCGAAAGATTTCTTCACGTCCACGGAAACCCCAAGTTCAATCTCAGGGAGACAAGGTTAAAAGTGTTGGGGTAAATATTTGGGTGTGTACTCATGTTGTACGGCTCCTAGGGAGCAACAGCATAGCTGTAGCTTGCTGCTGACCTGAACGGGCCCTTTGAGTCAGTGTGAAGCAAATCTTGCGTACGTCATGCATCAATACAAAAGGCCCTCAATGCCAGACAATACGAGCCCCAGAACTCGATGCTATGACGCAGAAGCCCTGATAGTCCGGTGAATTTGTGACAGAGCCCTTCAGTATTTGGTTGCCCTCTGACACTCACCCTGAATTGGTCGCTTGCAATGTCCACTGGCGCGTCGGCTGCTCCCCTGACATCCACAGAGCCCCGCACTAAAACGCATTTTCCCTCCCGCAGGCGCAGTGGCCCCCGGTTCTCACCTCTCCTAATCTCACTAAGTTGCAAGCTGCCCTGCCAGCTACCCACAGAAGCTGGAGTCACATTCAACTGCCGCCATCTTGGACAATGCTGTGAACGTCGGACACTGAGCTGGCAGTTCGTGCTCCACCGGTGGCTCCCTGCATTGCAGCTTGGTGAGACAAAGAAGGCGTGGGATATGCATCTGCAGGCAGCAGTGGCCGCATGGGCAGACATTGTGATAGCGTATTTAAGAACGCTCAGCTGGATGGTTTTCCGCCAGGCCCAGGCCGACCGACCTGTGACCAGACAGTATGCAAAGCCTCTCTCCTGCAGGGATGTACCGAAGTTGGAAGGCAAAGGGGCCCAGTAAAAGCGAGCCAACTTAGGATGGAGGGCTTTGATCAACAGACAAAGAGCACCTCGTGAGGCCCAGCTAGGCCCTACTAAAAAGTTTTCAGAGTTGAAATATCCTAGACTCAGAGTCACAGGACCTAGAGCTTGAAGTTGCAGGCTTTTGGCGATTGTCAGATCACCAATAACCGTCGATTGAAGCCTCCGGGCATGTAGGCCCTCCGATGAAGGGATCATCAACTTGGAAAAGAAGGCGGGAACTTCTCCACAGAATAAGAGCTGGCGACCAAATGCGATTAGCTGGTACCAAGATGGTCGCCATTCTGCAATCGTTCAGAGCAGAATCAGTGCTCGGCCCGGAAGCTGGTTGTTCTATTAAAGTTAAACTTCAATGCAATGACAACAATCTGCATTCTTTGTCTCAAAATCTCAGCAAGCTGAGAAGGTCTTACGCCGTCTGGAGTTGGGTTGAGCAATGGAGCCACACAGCAACAGCTTCGATCGGCTAAGCGACGATCTCTTGGGGTGCATCTTTGAGAAACTCTTGTGGAATCCTAATGCATTTGGCGTGGTGAAGGGGCGCGAACGTGTGCGGTTGGAGTCTGTCTGCAAACGGTTTCAGGAGCTTGTCCACAGGTTTGGAAGTCTGGATTGGGAGTTCAAAGGGCCTCGGGATGAAGACGCCTTCTTGCGATACATGTTCCGGCAGAGAACTTATGCAACTCCTTTGACAAGGGTGAATCTAGAAGTGCGCTCTTCAGTCAATGTCATAGCAATCCTGCAGTCGCTCACCTTCTCAACCCAGGGGTCCCTCCAGGAGCTGCACTTGTTCGTCGGCATTCTAAGCATAGTCAAATGGGAGTATGTGTTTCTGCTCCTTACAGAAGCGCAACAGCTCCAAACCTTGGACCTTTTCCTGTGGGGAAGGGAGCAACTGTCGGTTCCTCTGCGCTTTCGTGTCCCCTGGGGCTCCAAACCCCTGCCGAAGCTGAGGGCGCTGACGCTGTATGGGTTTGCCATTCCTGGTTCCGATTGTGACCAGTTCCTGCAGTCCTTTCCGTCGTTGGAAACTCTGGAGCTCCATTCCTTTGAGGGGCAAACGTACAGCTTTGGGGTTGCGGAGCTGGACAAGGTGTTCCTGTGGGGCAATGAGAATGCTAGTTTTGATCTAAGAAACTCGGCAAGGGCTAGCGTGCCAAGGAGTCTTGAAAAGGTGGTTGCCTTGATGGAAAGTGGAAGCCTGGCAACTAGAGAAAAGGCCGTGTCTGCTCTGTTGTCCCTTTCAAACAATGCCTTGAGTAGGAAGGCAATAGCGGCTTTTCCTGGGAGCTTGCAGAGTTTGGTGGAGCTTATGGACTACGGCGGCGTGCCTGCCGCTCTTGCAACTCTACAAAAGCTAGCCGACGAGCCCCAAAACACGAGGATCATAGCACAACTTCCAGGCTGCCTGCAGAAGCTGCTGTCTTGCCTAGAACACTACCGTCCAGACCGGCATGAGCCTGCTGCTGCGATGCTGGTCAAGTTTGCATTGGTTGCAGAAGTGGGTAAAATAATGGCTGGTGACTCCAAAGTGTTGGACCGACTGGTGAAGCTTCTAGACTGTGGTATGGGGAGGGCGCCTGTGCTAGCGGGGTGGGTGCTCCTGCAATTGGCAAGTGATGGGGACGTAAAGGCTAGTGCTGGTGAGCAGAGGTGCCTCCTAAGATTGGTCGCTCTCTTGGAGGACGCAGGCGTTAGCATCCGACTTGATGCTTTGCTGAGAGTTCTGTGCAATGACAGAGAGATTCGTAAGTCAGTGACGTCGACGCCTACTTTCTTCAACCAGTTGGTTGGCCTTCTGGCGAGCACGAGCGCGGAGTTGCAGACTGCTGCTGCGGAGGCCCTGCACAACATGGCGAGGGATGATGCGGACCGGAAGGTGATAGTGGCCACTCCTCAGTGCCTAGAATCCCTGCTGAAGCTCGTTGGAGAAGGGGAGGACAACGCATCGGAGAGAGCAGCGAGGGCACTTTGGAGATTGGCGGGGGAAGCCACGGTGTGCAGTGCGGTCGCAGCAGACCCGGGGGCGCTCCAGACGTTGGTGAGCCGCTTGAGTGGTGAAAGCAAGCCAGTGCAGCATTCGGTTGTGGGGCTGTTGACGACTTTGGCGAGAGATCCCACAGCCAGGCAAGCTGTGGCAAGGGCGCCGGGGTGCTTGCTTGCGCTCGTCTCTTTGATGAAAGACAAGAGGGCTGACATTCGGAAAAACGTCTGTGGGATGCTATGGCAAATGGGGCTCCACTCCGCTACTCAAAATGAGGTCCTCAATGTGCCTGAGGTGGTGTCAAGGCTAGGGGAACTTATAGGTGAGGGAGTGTCACCAGGGGTGGTCGAGGCGGCAGCGGGGGCTTTGCAAAGCTTGGCAGGGAGGACGGTGATCAGGAAGGCCATTGCTAGCCTGCCGGGGTGCCTGCAGAGGCTCGTCAACCTGCTGGGAGTTGCGGGCCGCACAGCAAGACTCGCCGCTTACGTGTTTGTGCAACTCGTCGTGGACGCTGACATGCGCAAGGTGGTCATTGAGTTGCCGGAGGCTTTGGAGAAGCTTGTGGGGCTTCTGAGCGTCGGCGGGGCGAAGGGGGCACACGAGCCGGCGGCGCGGGCATTGCACAGCTTGGCAAGGACTCCTGAGTGTCGAGTTGCCATAGCTGCGGCGCCAGGCTGCCTGGGGAAGCTGGTTGGATTCCTTTCAAGCAGAGAGAAGCACGTTCAGCGTGAGGCAGAAAAGCTTTTGCAAAGCCTCTTGCTCGAGCCCGAGGTCAGACTGGCGGCAAGTAAAGTACCGGGAATGCGTGAACGGTTAGTGAGTCTTGTGGGGCGGGGATGGGGAAGCGCGCCGGAGGGGGCCGCGGGAGTTCTGTGGCAACTAGCGGCGCACGACGCTCAAGTTCGGACGAAAGCTGCGGCGGACGCAAAGGTGGTCGAAGATGTGGCAAGCCATCCGGAAGACGCGAGCGCAGGGTTGCAGAAGGTGAAGGGGGAGGGCGGAGACGACGGCGCAGTGATACGGAAGTTGACGGATGGAGAGGGTGGGGACCGGAGCGCAGCAATGCAGAGATTGGCAGGGGGGGAGGGCGGGAGTGGCGCAGGTGCCAGAGAAGAGAAGGGCTTCTTGGAGGCGCTGACAACGTTTCTGCAGGCTGGCAGCAAAGATGTGCGAAAAAGCATTGCAAAGGCGCTCTGGGAGACAGGGAACCACGCCGCCGCCGTGCGTAAGGCCGCTCTTCAAGTGCCGAATCTGCTCCCAGCGCTGGTGGACCTTCTCAGCGAGGGGAACGCGGTCCCGGTGAAAGAAGCCGCGGCGGGGGCTCTGCAGAGCATAGCGCAAGATGCGGAGGCACGCAGCGCTGTAGCGGGCACACCGGGGTGCCTGCAGCAGCTGGGTGAGTTGTTGGAGAGCAGCGAGGGGCGCGTGAGCGAGCTGGCGGCGTGTGCGGTCTCTCAGCTGGCGGCCGATGAGAAATGGCGCAAGACGGTCGTGGAGTTGCCTGGGGCGGTGGAAAAGCTGGTGGACTTGTTAAATGCGGAGGTCCCCGCCGGGCCGCACAAACATGCGGCGAACGCGTTGCGCAGCTTGGTGTGGGACGGCGAGTGCCGACTCGTGCTAGCGGCCATGCCACAGTGCCTCGCAAAGTTGGTTAGTCTGCTCGGGGCCGAGAAGGAGCACGTGCAGAGTGAGGCGGCACAGGTGTTGTTCGGCTTGACGATCGTTCCAGAACCCCGGGCGGTTGTCTGGAAGTTGTCGGGCATTTTGGAGCGGCTCGTCAGCCTTCTCGGCAGCAGTAGCACCGCCGTCCAAGCATGGGCTGCCAGGGTACTGCAGAACCTGGCGCTCGACGACGAGTCCCGAAGGGAGATTGCGAGGGCGCCTGGGTGCCTGGACAAGCTCTTTGCGCTCCTCGAGTCTAAGTGCCTCCGCGCAGCCAAACAGAGTGTGATGGCCCTTTGGAACTTGATGGGGGACGATGAGGAGGAGGACGACGAGACCCGGGCCCTCGTCTTTGGAAAGCCAGGCCTCCTCGGGAAGGTGGTGGGCTTTCTGGATCCGGCTGTCGGTTTTGGCGCCCATGCCGCCGGCGGCTCTGCTGCTCGATTTCGTCCGGGGGCCCGGAAAACCGGAAAGCGTTGGTCGCTGTGCCGCGTTTCCTCGAGCATCTGGTGTGCCAGCTGGCGGGCGAGGACCCGGAGTACCCCACGTGGCTACTGATCGACCTTGCCGAAGACGCGGGGATCCGGGCAGAGATCGCCGTGCTGCCAGGGGCCCTGCAGAAGCTGGTGGAGCTTCTGACGCAGCCCTTCCTCCGGGAAGTGGCGCTGGAGGCCTTGAAGAAGTTTGCTGCTGACGCGGAGCTCGGGAAGGCGATTGCTGCGATGCCGGACTGTGTCCCAAGGCTGCAGACCTTAGCGGGTCTGCCGGAGACGGAGATTCACAAGGAGGAGGATCCCGGTCTCAGAAAAGGTGCTGCCAAAGTCCTCAAACTTCTGGGGGTGGAAGCGGTGGCGCCTTCGGGCGGGGCTGCGGCGGGGACGAAGGGAGCCGAGAGCGTCGAGGGTGCCAGTCCAAGTGCGGAGAGAGCCGGATGTGGGGAGGGAGAAGGAAGCGGGGCGAGAGAAGGGAATGGGGAAAAATCTGGAAGCGAGGAGAGAGCCGGAAGTGCTGAGAAGGCAGAAAGTGGAGCTGGAACTGCGGAGAAGGCCGGAAGCGCCGAAGAGGTTGGAAGCGCGGAGAGAGCGGGAGGTGCGGAGAGAGTCGGAAGTGCGGAGAAGGCTGAGAGCGGGGACGGAACGACACGAGCGGCGCCGGAATCCAGCAAGGAGGCGGAGCCGGAGCAACTTCATTGAGTGGCTTGGTGGACGGACGGGGGCTGCCAAAGTCGTGAGTCCGCGGTGAGTGTGGTTCTTTTCGAGTCGCTCAGGTGCTCTGTTTGCTTCCGAAGTCCCCCTTCAGGGAGTACATCGCGAAGGTTAGTCGATTGCATAGCTTCGTTCCATCACATTTTCGAGGCTGCGCTGGTCAAGATACAGCCAAGAATGGCGAGGCTACTTCGTGAAGCAGGTGCACCCCTTGGCAAAATGAACAAACAGTGGAGAGGGCCAATCGTGCTATTCGACAAAGAGACGTCAACTTTCTGGAAAGCTTTTGCTTCAAAGAGTCCTCGACTTTTTGGGACTTTTCGTATTCCGGGATCTCTTGACTCTTTGAGTTTGCCAAACCCTGCTGCTCGGTTGCCTAACGAGCTCAGCTTTCTCAGGTTAATAGTAGGCCTGAGGCACGGTTCGTGGTAGGCCGTTCCAGTGTCACTTTGATGAGGCGGCTGTGAGTGTCAATCTGCTTCGTGGATGATACCAGTTCGTCCCTGATTCTCTCCGATAAGCTTGGAAGGAAAGCTTTGATAGCAACTCTTTTCTATGGATTTTGAGGCAAAGACTTGTGACTTATACAATGGTGCCTTGATTGACGGCTGTCCTGACAGTGTCCGTTTCAAGTGCAGGCCATTCATTCCCCACCTGCGCTAAGCCCGTCGACGGGAGTGCCAAAACTTATAGCTGTCGCTTTGCCGAACCCTCAGCCCCCACGTTCGCTTGACCTACAACCTTTGACGGTGAGAAGCAGACATTGCGAAAGCCGAAAACGGGGCGTAATTTCTTTTTCGGCTCTGGCTCTTCGGATGCGGCGTCTTGATTTATTGAGGTGCTCCCAAACTTGACGTAGGGGAACGGTGAAAAACTTCGCTTGAAGGGTTTGTTTCAGCCTTCCTTTCAAATTAAAAATTATGTTCTTTCCGTCCAGCTGTCATGGCCGCGAACCCTTAAGGACCTCGGAACCGACTTTGTTGGGCTTGTGACACACAGTATTTACCCACTGCACATCCGGATTGAGGCCGAATCAGATTAGACCGCAAAGCTTTGTCTGTGCATGCCAAAGGCTGTTTTAAGGTAATATCTGGCGGATTTGCCAACGACAATATATGTCCAGCAATCACGGATCAAATACATTCGTGCGTCGCTGAGTCTCTTCCGTTCTTTCCAGGAAATCTGCTGTCCTGGTGTCTTGTAAGAGAAGCGACTGGACCGGATCTGGCCGGGGGAAACGGCGGGTGCGTGTGACGTGCGGCTGGCGCCAGCGGAACCTACGGGTAAGGAAGCCTCTGACTTGGAGAGAACTTAAGAGGTGTTCTCCTCGTTCCTTCGGTGCAGCTTCGTTTCGGTCCACGTTTTGGTGTTGTTGCTCCGTCCAGACAGCGGCAGGCGACATTCTTCGAAGTCGGTTTGCATATCCCCATTCTGACCGTTTTGACGTGCCTGAGCCTCAGCATGGTAGAAGCCCGTTTCGTTCGTCGCGTCGAACCGAGGAATGCTGACCCGCTTTGAGAAGTTGGTTCGCATCTCTTACTAGGACCGGTTTGACTTGCCTAAATTGCAACCTGGGAGATTCTGACAAATCCGTATCGTCCATTTTGAGGAATCCACAGACGCTGACCCGCCACATCCCTTTCCCCCAGGTCACTGCTGCAGCTTGCCCTCTACTCGCTTCCCCTTGCTGACGTCACTTGAGGCTCCACCAACGTCAGCCACCGGGTCTCCCGTACTGCGGCCTGCTCCGGCATGACGCCAAAAGCTCTTCTGGACGCGCGCATAATTGTGGAAGCCGTCTAAGCGACTCGGTCGAATCCGCTGGGGAGCACAAGGGGAGGATCTGAGGGGCCTGCCGGACTTAAGACCATGGTGAGTGATTGTCTTGCGTCGGCCAAAAGCTTTTGCGCTCTGTGCCTCTGAGCTCGAACGCTCCCATGTCCCTGATGCGGTGCCTCTGTCAGCTCCTGCGGTGTTCAAGAAACTCTCTATGTTTCGATAAAGCTGAACAAGAAGCCGAGCTCCTCCAATATGTGACCCTGTTTCAAAGTCTCACCTCGAACTGGCTCTCTGAGGGTGTTCCTGCTCCCAAGTTTAGGAATCAAGGTAAACAGGAACGTCTCTAAGAAAACGCTAGTGAAAACGAACGATAAATCTTGTTTCCGTACATGATCTTTCTGTGCATCTTCCCTCTAACTTCGACGGATGACACGTGTTCCTTCCCTGCCAGATCACGGGTGTCTGTTTTCTCCCGGACCCAACATGAACGGTCACCTAGGCGGCGGCAGTCAACCCAACGGTAACGCAGCACGGTCGTGCGGGGTGCCCTGCAGCCACACTTCGTCGGCCACGTGGCAGCGGAGCTGAGCCACCCATTGGTGTGGCGAGGTCCCGGGGCGACCATTTGCCTGAAATACAGTGTAAGGAGTCGCCCTGTCCTGTAGTGGCGCAATTGTTGCCTCCTGCCTGTGAAGAGTTCAGTAGATCTTTTGCGTACCTCGGCCGCAGTTTCTAATCTCGACTGGTGCAGACTCGTCGGTAGGTGTCGCTTCGCGAAAAGCGTTGCGTGGACCATCCGACAGTCTCGTCGAAAGCGGGGGTCTATGTAAGAGGGTACTTTCAAGGTCATGACGCGGAACGGAAAGCTTCTTATCATCTCCTGAGTCAGTTCAGTCGAGGCGGAGAAGGTGCAGAATAGAAAGTGCGACAGATTGCCGTCTGGTTGGAAAGACGAAGCAGGCTCCAACGTCACGTGTTGTCAGCAAGCATCCATTATCTCACTGCCGCCCCACCTCCTGAGCCGGCCGCCCATGCAAATTTGATTCTTTTGCAGGTCTCGGCTCCTCCGGGTTACACAGCTGAACCGCTTCGGGCCGGCTCGGCCGCGAAGCCGACTATGACGCTCACGGGGGATGGAGTCTTGAGAAGGTGCTTCCGCGGGCCGATGACGTCAGCCCGGTCACACCGGTGGCGGGGAAGGCGCACCCGGTGGCGGTTGTGACGTCAGGGACGGTGGTCGGAAGTCCTACGGTTAGGGAAGCAGGAGGTAAGGTTGCAGACCGCTTTTCAAGAAGCAGGGGGAGAGGAAGGTGGCTTTTTGCTCTCCTTTGATGCAGCTGTGTTCTGGCCCACCTTTAGTAGGAACCATTACTCCGTTAAAAAGCAACGGGCAACAGTCCCTTCGTTGTACCGGTTTGACCTGCCCGAACTCCAACTTCGAAAGTTCCGAGAAGTTCGTTCGTTCGTTGTATCCAACCAACGGTTGCATGACACATTCTTCAGAAGTCGCACCGCATTCTTCAGTTGGACGGTCGTGACTTGCCTTTATCCCAGTACGGGAGCCTCCGATAAGTCCCCATCGTTTCCCTGCTGGACCAGTGGATGCTCACCACCATAATTCTCCGCCCCAGGTCCCCGTTGCAGACTGCCCTCCGCGCGCGCTTCTCCTTGCCGACGTCACCCAGGTCTCCACTGACGTCAAGCAGCGGGTCTCTCGTACGCGGCTTCCTCCGGCGTGGTGCCAAACGTTCTTCTGGCGACCCAGCGCTTGGGCGCTGCGCAAACGATCAACGTCCCGGTTGTATCCGCTGGAGGAAGTCCCCGGGAGGACACTTGAGGGACCCGCCGAATTGAGCATCAGGGTGAGCCACTTTGACTTTATCGGTTAGTGTGTCTCTCGTCAACGCAAAATACGGCTTTGAACTCCACTGCTTCGAACTCTATACATTTCGGCCATTTCCGAGTTGCTATTGCGTTGTCAATACTTTCTCCTCCATTCTCGATAGCTTAACAAGAAGCTGAATGCACAAACCCTGGTGTAAGAGGCCGACGTCGAGTTGATTTCCTGGCCGTCTTCTTGCTCCTTTTTTGAGAAGTTGCAGCAGAGGCGTCGTCTCCGCTGTGCTCTAGTCCAAGTTGAGTGTCTTCGGCTTCGCCTGGCTTGTGGTACTACAATCCATCTGAAAAGGACATACTGGATGTGGTCTAACGTCAAAAAGGCGCATCTTAAAACTAATTGTTGTTATTCTGCCCCGAGTATCTGTTCCGCTGCAGAAATCTGGTGGGTTCCCCCTGTGTTGTTGACGGGTCTCACACTCTGATTGCAGCGCAAGTACATACCAAGCTGCCCTCCAACCGGCCGAACACGTGTGACGTGTGCTTCCGATGACGTCAGCGGGTGCCCGAGAACTCTGACGTTACCGGAACCGAATAAGAGGCCGTCATCGCTGGCCGTTCCCAGAGGATGGGACTGGAGCGGTTTCCAAGGCTGTGGGCGACCGGCGGAGGTCAGCAAACTGACCATACTGGCGACGTGCCGCAAATTCTGAATTTCAGTAGGTGTGCAACTTCCGATGTCAGCAAGGTTTGCAACCTCCAGGAGAACTAGACAACGGGTTAAGCGTGTAACTGCTTGGTGTCATACTCTGGCGAGCTTGTGTACGTCATTCATTTTGCGGCAAGGTTTCTTTGGACGGCAGACCTCGACCAAGTTCGCGGACAAACAAACACAGGCTTTGCGCTGATTCCCCGTCTTCCGTTGGCGCTCTCTTGGGGCAAAGGCTCTGCCTGCTCTTTCGTGTGCAACTTGAATATTTCGCACATTCCTTTCTGAGTCTCGCTCCGCTTTGCTCGTGATCGCTCGTTGTTTTCAACCTGCTAGCCATTCGGAGCTTGGACAGCACTAGCCGCCATGTTGTGTCCTTCATTCCAAAAGTGCGTGCATACGAGAGCGGGCTACCAACGTGCTCAATAACGCCCGTGAAGGGCGCGCGGAGAGCTGACGTCGCCGTTATGAGAAAAAGACCTGAAACCAGAAAGGGAGCGCGCTTCCTTTCGTCAGATGTCTTAAGTGGTCATCGTCCTGCAGGGTGTGCTGGCGAAGATGGCCGGCTTTAAGGCCATCCTGCCGTAGGCCAGTGATGAGCCAACGGATTATGGAGTGTTGTCGAACGACGGCATCAATTGTGGTAAGTCTTGAGGCCACAATAATCTGAGCGGCGAAAATCAATAGAGCTGATTGGGTGCTTTCTTCGATTTTACTGACGTTGAAATTGAGGGCTTGCTCCATCAGTTTGTCTTCTGTTCGGATCATTGTTTGGGTCACTTTCTTGTTGGATTTTTGACAAGACGCAGGGGAGGGCAGACTCTGCAACGGGGTCGTTTTGAACATTCTTCTTAGAGCGCTTTAATAGTTCGCCCCTTTTGCGGCTTAAGGAATCTGAGAACGATGATAAGAATCAGATTGCGCTCTCCATATCGTCGTAATCGCTTTGGAACTGCTCGACACTTCTGGTTTTGGCTGCCAAGGTTGGTCGCGAATGTATTACTAGCGAAGCACAGTACCGTCCGGCTTATAACCAAATGTTAAAGGGAGGCCAGCACTTTAAGTAGTGATTTCTACCACGGTATCTGACGCCCAGTATTTGAAACGTACGGTACATCAGAAAGTCTGCTGTCGAGCTGTCGTCTCTGCTGTACTCTTGTAAGAGGTGGGGACCGAACTTCAGCGTTTGGAAGCGTCAACACGTCCTTTCCTCGGTGTGTGAAGAAGAAGAAGAAGAAAAAGAAGAAGTTCGTAACACCTCCGTTGTCTGGTGAAGAAGATAGAAATGAATGACGTGTTGCTGACGTTCGAGTAGACAAACCCCATTTGCTTTGCCCTTCCAAGCTGGACACCGTTTTCCTCTCACCGTTGTAGGCCAGCCCGCCGTTGTCCAAAGCACCGACCCTACCCCAGCGCCCCGCGCTGTTCCTGGCGCCGCCGCCATCGTCGCGCGCCCAGTTTCAACCAAAAACTCTGGTGCGCGAACCACTTCCGGTCCAAAATCGAAGAGAATAAGGCGCGGCGGCTCAAAACAAGATTACGGAAGAAAGCTGGCGGACGGCGGAAGAAAGAGGCAGACGTAGCGCGGAAGAAGCGCGCGAGAGACGAGCAGGAACGAGAGCGGGGCGACTATCGGCGCAGGTTGGGGGACGAGAGAAAGGAGATGGAGGATTGGCAGCGAGCGGCGATGGACAGGTGGGATGAACCTGGCTTTTCCGGGGCGGCTTCTGGAGATACATTTCTCGCCGTGTGTTCGTGTGCATTTTCAATGCGAGTACTGAAAGGAACAAACGTGACAGACGGAGCTTTCTAGAAGTGTTGCGTCAGGTCTTACGTCGGAGTTGGTCGCCCTCCTAGCCCATCAACTAGAGGGGAATTGTCAACGGGACAACGGAAGACGCCTCTTCACTACGACTTTCTTGTCTTCTTTCCGCGATCGCCGTTAGCGGGACTTGATGGGGACAACAAGACCGCCTCCGAAAGCAGTGTCTCTTTTTTCTTCCCGGAGTTCGGAGGTGCGATCCGTTGATTAGAGGGAAATCTCGAGGAGCATGGATTCAGCGTCGACCTTGGGTGCGTCCAATTGTCCTTGAAGAAAAAATGCAGAGCATCAGGTCGATTCCACTCTTCTGCTGAGCAATCCGTTGTTTCCTTCCCATGGAACCGAAGGTGCGCAGCCTCGCGGGCTGAACTGTCACCACAGCTGGACTTGCGAAGCACGACTGGATTCTTCATTCCGTTTTCTAGGTTCCAAGAAAGGCAAACAGTAGGAGGCCACCGGACGGCATCAAAAGGCCGCGAACGGAAGGAGCGCCGTCGTTAATGAAAGAGAAGGAACTAGAGGTGGAAAGAAGATCAAGAAGGGGAAGGATGCGCGTAGCCGAGCTGACGAAGCGGGCGTGAGGACCGGAGCTAGCAGCGGGGCTCTTGGGCGGAAGGAGGGCGAGCGGAGCCAAAAAGTGAGTCAGATTTCTGGAAGAAGGCGTTGCACCATAGGCTGGAACTACGTGCACAAGCACGGAGCACGGGAGTCACTCAATCTGGATCGAAGGCGAAAGCTGCAAAGTCCGACCACACTGGCTGAGTATGCCAATACTTCTTGTCGGCCCGTCAAACAGCTTATGAACACGCATGTCTAGACACGCCATGCGTCCTCAAGCCTTTTGTATTCATCAGAAATGTACCGTATTGTCCCACACCATCCTCATTTGCTAACAACAATTTTCTCCAGGTACAAGACTTTGCCTGTTTCAGACAAGCGGACAAGGAACGCTCGTGACTGTCTGCGTCACAAGCTGCAGATACCGGTGCGTCTCAGCATAATCTCTTATCTCCACCAATTTGTAGAGCCCATAACTTTCATAGTCGCATAACCGGATTTCTACATCAGAGGTTTTTAGCTGTCATCTCATACATTCAACTGTTCTGCAGTTGCCAACGGGCCGGAACCGCTCATCCCTAACAAGACGTACCTGACAGAGATTGCGGACTCGGCAAGGCACTCCCACCTTGTCGGGACGGAAAAGGTGAGGGTCAGTCAATTCTGTGGGGAGTTCTACAAACTGCATAGAAGGCGTATGTAGGAGTGGGATGGATTGGTGGACTCGATTCGTGATTCAATGACTGCGGATTGTAAGCGTGTGTTTGACAGACAAGGCCGCCCACGGCTGAGGCCAAAGCAGCTCACTTTGCTCGAAAGGTTGCTGGTCTTTTTCAGAGTCTTACTGGGCCATGGGCGCATATGCTCAGCTTTCCGGTGTGTCGTATGACCAACCTTCGGGGTGATTCACATTCTGAACTGCGCTCATTTAGGTCCTGCTTTTATGCATGTGGGTGCGTATCCGTGTTGTCCATGTCGAAATCAGCTTGATCAGATTCTTGGATCTTTCTCAGTTTATCTCCATCGCTAGTTGTCGTCCGTATGACTGTCCCCAGTCCCGTCTGCTCCTCTGCTCACTGCTTGGTGATAGACTGGGGTGCTTGCAAATCGGAATTCATGGAAAGTTTGGGTTTAGAATCAGTAAGGTGTGGTAGGTCTAGGTGCCTTAAAACATTTTGCTCTTCCGAGGCTTCAGTAGTATTGTCACTTTGAAGAATGAGCAATTGACTGGGAGGCGAGCCCAGGAACTGGTCGGGCCAATTAACGGGACCTTATCTTGCCAACCATCAGGCTGACTGCGCTTGCATCTCACCGCTTTCCCATCTCTTTCTTCAGCAACCTCTGCTTATCGGGCGGCCCATGGAGTCGGCAGCTTGACATAGGAAGAGACTAAGGGTACTTCCTCGGGGCACACCGTTTATAGTGACCGGGGCCAAATCCGTGTCAGGAGTCGAGTGCTTTCGTTCAGCATGTCCTCGAGAAGCTCGGACTTGATTTCACCTGTTGTTCCACCTCTGGCACATTCCTGCCTTGACAGCCGAGCAGTTGCCAGCAACTCATAACTGTTCCCCATTTCCCATGAGCAAATGTCTCCTCGTATTGGACGACAGCGGGTGGCCTGCATCTGGTCGTACAGTGACAGACAAATTCTTCAAGCCGATTGAACCATTTGCATGGCGTCTTGTGCTCTGCCGTGCTTGCCTCTAACTCTCTCATGCTGAATTGCTTTGTGCAATCATTGATTATGCCCTTGTCCTTGCGTGGCAATCCGTCAAGAGAGGGTTGATAGATGTATCGGTATAAGCCTCCCTCAAGGCGAATCTGCTAACATTAAAAGGCAGGGATCAAATAAGGCACACTTCGTCAGCGCCCCCGGCTCTCGTCCTTCACTCACCTCGGGCTGCGGCGCAGGGGTGCAACGAACGAATGGTTATGAACATGAAACAACAAAACATTCAACCAAACAGACAGCTTAATGTCGAGTTCGTGCCCGGTGTACATTGGATGATCATGTGATGCCATCGACATGGTAGTGTGCGATTCAATCGTCTGGCACACGTCACAATGAACGTTCCACTGTGGGTTAATCATCTTGAACCTCTGAGCAACTTGTGCGCGGCAAGCATATGCGCATTGCCCCGCCATGATGGCGACACCATGAGATCTTCGGGACTGCAATTTGCTTCTGCTCGAGGTTCATAAACAATCAAAAGCTCGCCTGATCGAGGTTCAATCATAGAGTTCAATGCCCATACCGGCCTAGCTAAAACTAAATAGCTGCCACAGTAGTTCAATTGCCAGAGCGCGCTTATAATGCACGTTGCCGCCGGAGATGTTTCGACTGCATGCAACATTCATTGATGCATGAGAGCATGATATCGAGCCTGCCAGCAGAATCTTTCAAAGAGAGCGTCTCCAACGTCTCGACCGTCCATCTGCATGTCATTTATCAAGCATGAAGTGCCAGCCGTGCGATGAGGGGGATCATCGTTCTTTGAAGGGCAGTAGCGACCAATACGGTGCGCAAAGAGCTAAATGGTCGCCACCTTCCTTTTGGCCTCAATGGAGAGCATCTTTATAACAACAGATTTGAGCAGATTATGTGGATTGAGCACAGTATATTTGTCTTTCCTGCGTCTTTGGCCGCTCGGAAGTTGGAATTCCTCTGCAGCGATGGAGGCTCGTGTGAACCCTTTCGATCGCCTAAGCGATGATCTCTTGGGGGGCATTTTCGAGAAACTCCTGTGGAGTCCTAATGATTTTGGAATGGAGGAGAAGGGTTACGGAAGAATGTGGTTGGAGTCGGTCTGCAAAAGGTTTCAGAAGCTTGTGCACACATTTGGGTGTCTGGACTGGCAGTTTGACAGGCCTGAGGATGGGGATGCGTTCCTGTGTTACATAGTGCGCCAACAAGACAGAATGAGTCCGTTGAAAAAGGTTGCTCTGGATGTTGAAGGGCCAACGCAGTTGGTGGCGATCCTCCAATCAGTCGTTATCGCAGCTCAAGATAGCCTTGAGGAACTCCACGTATTTGTTGGGGATCTGGCCCTAGAGGATGTCATCAACTGGGAGTACGTTTTCCTGCTTTTTGGTGCTTTGAAAAGGCTCCGCATTTTGGAATTTCTTCTGTGGGAACGAGAAACTGCACAGTGGTGTCCAGTGACTTTGAGCAGAGTATGGTTCTCAGGATCCTTCAGAAAGTTGACGTCGTTGACCCTGTATGGCTTTGCAATCCCCGGTGTGGAATCTGACTCTTTCCTGGAGAAGCTTTCAATGCTGAAATCCTTGGAGCTCCACTCGTACTCCATCGGCGCAAATGCGTCCAGCAAGGCGAGCGCTCTTGAAAAGGCTTTCTGGTGGGGCGATGAGGAAGTTGGCATCGATGTGGCAGATCCAGCCAATGCCAGTCTGCCAAGAAGCATGAAGAAACTGGTGGCGCTAATGGGAAGCAGATTCTCGGATGTAAGCCAGAAGGCTGTAGAGATTCTGCGCAATCTGCTAAGCCGAAGCAACAAGCACATAGCCATAGCGGCAGTTCCTGGGACTCTGCATAACCTAGTGGAGCTCCTTGTCGATGGCGAGCATACGGTTGCTGCAACTCTGGGACAGCTCGCTGCCGAGCCTGCCAACAAGAGCCGCATAGCCAGTGTTCCTGGTTGTCTGCACAAGCTGCTGCGGGTTTTGGAGCAAAGGGGCTCTGGCCAAAGGCACGAGGCCGCTGCAGAAACCCTGATCAGTTTAGCGGGGGATGCTCAAGTCCGTAAGGACATTGTTGGGGATCCGCAGACGTTGAGACGATTGGTAGGCAGTCTCAAGGACCAGTACTCTGGGAGGGCGTCTGTGATGTCAGGCTGGGTGCTGTGGTGCTTAGCAAATCCTGGCGATAAAGACGCTGGTGCTACTTCCGAGATGCAAGGGTGCGTGCAGAAACTTGTTGCGCTTCTGGATGCTGCGGGCCTGGGCAGTCATTTTGGAGAGGTGCTCTCTAATCTGTGCAAGAGCCCGGGGGCGATGCGAGAGTCTGTGCTTTTGACGCCCGAGTTTTCCCGGAGCTTGTCCAGCCTTGTGACGAGCGAGCGGGTGGAGATACGGACAGCAGTTGCAGAGAGCTTGGAAACTTTGGCAAGCTGGGATGCTGAGAGTTGCTGAGAGTTGCATATTGATTGTCCAAGTTCAAGAATAACTGCAAAAGCTGATAGGCCCTGTGGAACATGGAGGGGTTAGAGCAAAGCCGAGAGTGGGGAAACGGGGACTGGGAGGGAGGAAATCTAGAACGAGGTGCGGGGCGAGAACGAGGAATGAGGAGAAAGTGGGGCGGGGGCTGCAAGAGAAGAGGTGGAGGGGAGCAAGGAAGAGAAGCGGCGCGTGAGAAGTGTGGAGGGGCGATTGACTTTATAGCTGCGATGAGTCAGTCTGTTTGAACCTGGGCCAGACATGTGGAACACAAAGTTGTCTGCAGCTGAAGGAGGTGGCTAATGCGTGCTACGAACTTTCCTTCTCACTCCGTGGCTTGAGACGTCCTGGACCTCGATCATCTCCTCGACATGAACAGGTGTCATGCTGAGCATCCGAAGAGTTTCGTTTGTTATCGAGGAGCGAAAAGTGAATGACGCAGCCAGTTCAAATATCTGGTGACGCTCGCCGTTTAGATCTAAGATCTATTAACGCTTGTTTTTGAGGATATAAGTTTGTCGCATTTGTCAGCGAAAAGGATCGTCGCTCGCTTTCGAGCGACGCTCGGATAATATCGTCTTGATGGAAAGAAACAGGTCGCTGTCCAACCTGCATTCTTTGACGAAGCAGAAACCTTTTGCAAGGATTGATCGAAGCAACGGAAGCCTTCCTCAAGTTTTACCCACCCTTCTCAGGCCCTCCGCTGCCGCCGGCCTTGTTGAGAGGTCACCGACCGCGACGTCAGCCGTGACATCAGCAGGTCGGAAGGTCCCCTTAAGTCTCCCGAAGCGGAGGGTCGGCGTCATTCAAGGAGAAGAGGGGCTAGGCGGCACCACTCGCCGTCGGAAAAGGGCGGGCCGGGAGAGGAAAACAGCAGAAGCTTAAGCGGCGGCCATCAGCACGGCGGAAAGAACCAGGTCTAAGTGGAGGGCGCACTTTGACGGAGTAGCCCGCCTCAGGTAAGCTGAAGTCTCAAAATACCTCTTGCAAACTTCTTGACTTTGCCGGCTGGATTTGAAGACGCGGTGCCTATCTGCGGCCGACACTTCCTTAGCCTTTGACGCGGAAGCGTTTGATTTGCCGCTCGCCACAGGCAGATCTTTCTTACTTTGTCCACGGAATTAAGCGCTCTGATTGTATTGGAAGAGATTTATGGAAAAGAGGACCATTCTTCAACTTTAAACCATACTGCATGTGGCCGTTCATTTCGGGGCAGACAGCAGACATTTGATCTCTGGGCTTTCGTCTTGCAGAGCGCTGAGATGAGACCATCTCTGCCTTCATCCTCTTGCGCATAAGATTGTTCTCGATGAACTCCCTGAAACATCTTGGAACTCAGGAGAAAAACATTTTGTTCACTCTGACGTCATCAACCGCCTCGGACCGATCCATTTGTCGTAGATCCACTCGTCAATGCCAATCCATTTCATCATTTCGCAGGGATGCCACTGCGGCCAGCCTCCGAGGCTGTCGTCAACACTCTCTTCGATGACGTCAGCAACCGGCAGCTTGCTCGTGCCCGTCTCCGGCCGACGTCAGCAATTAGCCAGCCATGACGTCAGCACCCGAGGCCCGGCTTGCGCCCGGCTCGGAGGGGCGCGCAGTACGGGATGCGTTGCAAGATTCAGTTAGCGCGCGCAAGAAGCCGAACAAGAAGACGGCCTCGATTGCAACCCCTGCGGTGAGACACCGAATCCTCCTCCTTTGTTCGCCACCTTGTCTTGGGTTGAAAAGTAGCAACACCGGTCTGCCAACAATTCTCGCATTTGTCCTAACTTCGGGCTGTCTGTTCAACTCGCGGCCTGCGCTGATGAATGTCCCCAAAGTCGACCAATTTGAATAACGTCCTGCACGATGGCGGAAGAGGCGACGGAGATCAGTCCGCTCAGCGTGGTTGCCTCCACGGGCTTGCTTTGACTGACAAAGCCGAGCTTTGTGAGGGTATTCTTCGGCGTCCCTTCAGTCGGATCTTCGTAAAGTTTTCTCTTCGATATATTCAGTCAATAGTTTCTAGAGTCTTTCCTGATCATCTCTTCGATCAGAACTTCGAATGGTGTCTGCAGTCAAGGCTCAAGTAATCAGAAAAGGGCGTTTGCAAAATCTGGCCATATCCCGAAGTGGACGCTCAGGAGAGAGAGTGCGAAGTGGCACCTACAAATCAAGTCTGCGAGGCATAAATCGCTAGCAGTGCAGTGGCATCGATTCCGGTCTGGTGACGTTTCCCGGAATCTCTTTCTGCAGGGCCCCCCTTCTTCACGTCAGACCTCACAAGACGCCGTCCCCTTTCTCGATCTCCGACTCGCTTCGCTCTCGTGTTTCACAGAGTCCTGCCACCGTCGCTTACTTCTCTACTCCTCCGGACTTCTTAAAATTCTGCTCCCCCTCAGCCAGCGCGGAAACCAACCGAACCGATGGCTTTGCTGACGTCACCAGGTGGAGAAAGTGGGCGGGAAGCTGACGTCACTCGGGCGCGGTCGGACGGGAAGCTGACGTCACTTGGGCAAGGTCCGGACAACGGCGCTTGCATCCCCGCTGTGCGGGTCCTGAAGCAGAGAGCCTGGAGGACGCAAAAGTTTCTGCGTCGCGGCCGCTGCCTGCGGCACACGTCTTAGTAGAGGCGGAAGGGTAAGCTGACGGCTTCGACCTGTTGCGTGATGCACTCCTGAAGCGTTTGCGATGCTTGAACGGCCTCTACAAAGTTCTCGTCGCCTTGAGAAGAGAAATATGGATAAGGACTCCTGCTACTTGGAATCTGATCCGCACTAGCCGGTTCCGCTTCGGGTGTTCCGAGATTGTCTTGTAAGTCAAGTCTCCACTCTTCTCGCCTTCCATGTTGAGACTGAATGATGCAGAGGTTTCCTACGTGAGTAGCGCTATTATTTGGTCCTTATTCACCACGAAAACGTTCTTACCTTGTCCGTCGCACCAGCCATTTGTGTCGACGCTCGGAACCACATCTCTTTCGCACCGTACCGATCATCCAAATCAGATTCTCCTCTACGTTCACCAAATCGTCGCGAAACTGGCAAAGGCTGCAATGCGGTTGGTTTCCTCTCCCCTTGTCACGTCTGACCCAGATATACTCACCCCTGTCCCAAAATTTTGCAGACGAGGCGCAAGCAGAAAACGGTCCTCGCTCTTGTCCTCGTCTCGCCAGATTGCCAGTCCTCGCCAGACCACTGGAACGGGCAGTAGAAGCAGATGCTCGCAACGGGATAGGGCGCTGCGGAAGCGAGTGCGGTGAAAGCGCGCGCGGCATCTGCCAGGTATGTCCTCAAGGATGCCGGTCCTTCGGCCATGTTGCTTGCTTCTATTGCGAAAGCAACGGTCGTTTCTGTACTAAATGAAATTCGCGTGGACATCAATCTACTGAGATATGACGCCTCTCTCCGCGCTGCTATTCCGCCATTTTGGCAACCGTATCCCTAGGATCTGAGACGTGTGATTTTGCAACCTTCGTGCAATCATTCTCTGATTGGTCCGTACCAAACGTCTGTTTTCCCTACGTTGGTCCCGCTGTAAGCGGTCCATCGGTGCACTTCTGAGACATTTGATTGGAGTCCCTTGTGCACTCAGCGCCGAACACATCTGCTACCACCGCAGGTACGCCACCGGATTGGAACCCGTTGCTGACGTCATGCAGCTACCCGCTGACGTCATCCGCGCTGGTTGGCCTCCGCCCGTCTGCGAAAGGCGTGCGCCCTGGCCAGCTGTTGGAAGGCTCGTGGCTCGTTGTCGGAGTGGCGGTTCTGGACGGTTCGTACTCGCGGGGGCCAGGCGAAAGGACTTGGTGATGGAATGCTATTGCCAATAGGTGGGTTACAAGGCCGGTTGCATTCCTTCGTTGTGCTTTTGGTCTTTGATTATTGTGTCCTGGAGCATGTCATTTGCGGTTGTGCGAATTGGTTTATTTCTACCTGCTCTTTAAATCCTGCCGTCAGCTTACTCTTGACACAACTTTTGACAGCGTTGAACAACTTTTGGATCCCCTCTGGTGCTTTCAGACATCTTCGAAGTAGGCGTTGCATCTCCTATAGACCTCTTGAAAGCCGGCTTTCAAAGGGAAGATCACGCAATGGCTTGTGTACCCGGGATCTGTAGAAGAGGGTGGAAAGTCGAACCGTGTTTGGTTACCACTAATGCTCCGAAATGACTACTCACTGTTTTCTGAGGCCTTTCATAAGACCTGTGTACGGCCTTCGGAAGGGCATGACTACTTTGACAATCATCTCGAAGATCTTCTCTGTGCAGGTTCTCGCTGTCATAAAGGGAATCGCGTGACTGGTGGTTCTCCTGTGCCCGGGCTCTTCAAACGGGCGCTCCCCAGCTCCCGCCATGTCCCCGACTACTTTTGGTTGGCATCGTGGGTGCCGCCTAAACGAACCCCGCCTAGCGGAGCACGGGTTTTCTGCCCCTCCCTTCAGTGACGTCAACGGGAAGTCCCGTCGTCGGAGAGGTGACGTCACCCTTGCCGGAATTTAACGCCGTGCGCTGGCCCGCATCTCTAACCGAGCCGGAGAGGAGAGTCGGGAAGACGTGCCCTCGCTAGAGCCATTCACGCCTCGCCGGGCTGCCGCGTGAACGTTTGTAAAGGTGAGCAGATTCGCGAGAACTTGCTGCCCGTCCGGAATCTGAGGCGTGCTATGTTGCTCGAGTACAATCGCCAGGCTTGTCAATCGTATAGAAACTGGTCGTGAGATGGATGTTGACTCGTGGCCTGTGCTCACACCTGGTTGGCATTCCACTCAGTGGTGCTTTTTCCATATTCCCGTGTGCCAGACAGAATCGACGGAGCGCCGACGGGCAAGCACTACTCTGCTCTCCTTTGTTTCCGGTCTTACTTTGTGCACGATCCGGAAGTCGATACGAGGTGTGCTTCCAGCTAGATTTGCAAATCATTGAGTCTGATCGTCATACCTTCCTGTTCGGCAGACGCAAGGGAATTGACATTGCTGCAGAGGGCGCCAAGACAGTCGGCGGACTGACGGTGCTAGACCGGTCCACGAAACAGCGGGCCGCTCATCGGGGACATCTGAAAGACGTCAGCCAGCGCGGTGAGTTTGGACCCTATGTATTTCCGCCAAAGGAAACAACAAAGGGGGGGGAGCAATTCCTAGTCGGCTTGGGCCACGTTTGCTCGGCGGTACATCTTGCTTCAATCGCTCCTTATAAACGCTTTTATCAGTGCTGTATGGAGCAACCGCTACGAAGGCACTTGCTTCTTGACTGTAACACTTGGATGGGTTCCAGACCTCTAGGGTCACCCGTTTCAGAGTACGGGAAGGAACAATCATCCGATCAGAAAGCTTTTGTGGCAATTGATTATTAGAAGTGAGGCGCGTCCGATGACGTTGTGTTCATGTGCGGTCGAAAGTACTTTTAGTACTTTCGACCGCAACCCGACGATCGAGCACGTCCTCTTTTCTGGTCACACCTCTCCTGCAACAGCTTTTCAAATGCCTGTGCACCTCGGAATGATCGGTTCACACAATCGCGTGGAACGCTGCATCGAAGATCTTTGAATCCTTTGCGGAGCACGAAGTATAAAAAGGCTTTACGTTGATCGCCTCCGTCGATCTGCCCTCTCTGCATACACCGTCCAGAGGGACGCGTCTAAAACTGCATCCTCTTAAACAATCGTTGGCGGGTTGGCGGCCGTGGTTGTACAAGTCATTCGGTGTCGAGACTTCTTGTCACGTCGTTTCGTACGGATCAACGAAGTGACAATGGTTTGATAGACAAAGTTTCAGTGCAGCGGCGACGACTTTTACCACAACCAGCTCCACTCACTGTGGAATTCAAGCGGTGCTTTTCTTCACGGACCTGATAACGAATTTTAGTAACCGCAGGTAGGGCGATGGGGAGTCGTCGGAGCCGTCGAAGCAGTCAGCAAATCGCCGCAGTGCAAGCGCGCCGACTGAAGTCGCGATTACCGGTCGCTAACTGTCTGCCCGCTTCAGATGACAACAATATGTTTACACTGTTAGAGTAGCGCCACATGACGTCTTGTGTACAAGTCAAAGTGTACGGCTGGGGCGACTTATCGACCTTTAGGGCCGTGAGTGAGAACCCGTCCTTGTGGCCGCGCATTTCCGGATCAACTAGACGGGCAGCATACTGTGGTGCACTCGGCATGCCATTTGATCGATCTATTTCAGCGCCGAGCGGATTTAGACCGTCGGATTTTGTTGTGCAAATTTTAATGCGGATGATCAGGATATAACATTTGACACAAAATAGGCCGGAGCGTTCCGAGGCAACGGTTGTACCCCCTGGAACGGGCTGGAAATCCAGGCGACGGCCTGCGACACTTTGACAAACGTGCGAACTTCATCGGAGGGCCTGCGACCGTCGGCCGACCTACATTATTCGCGTAATACGACAAATCGGTAGAAAACCACTGTACGGAAACTTGGTGCCAACAATGCCTTTGCCAATTACTCGGACCGGAAGTCGATGGGCAAAGTCGTACAGTTTGTTTACAATGCCCCTGGGAACTTCCTGGAAAAGGGGCCGGCCGGAATCCCCTCGCGCACAGAATTGGTGGATCTCTTAGGGTAATAAAGCGGTCACATAGCCGACGGCCCCTAGCAAACAGTCGCCTATACATTTGCCACGTCGTACGGTGGCATTGGGGGCATCCATTTCGTGGGCTGTCGCCCTTTTCAATAACGCGTACGCTCGCGCGCATTTGGGGAGCACACAGAACAGAATCATAAAATGGCATGCCAAAAACTGAGAATGGTCGCGTTTTCAACTTAGTGTCCGATTCAACTGAGTATAAGTCCGCCCGGCAGAATCAGTCACGGTCATGCTAAAGGATCTGCATGGCGTCCACTTATATCGACGACACCGTACTAGTTGGACTGGTCCTCCACATGGTCTTCCCACATGCATGTCCCTACTAACCATGACGGTAAACTCGAGCGCGGGCCGGCAAGGATTCACCATTATAGGGATCCGCCGCCAAAAAGCCATGGCACGCGTCACTGACAAGTCATGGTTATATATATCCTTTTCATACATATTACACGCGGCGGCCCGAGCGCGATCGCAAGGAGTCACCAACTTGGGCCGCAAGTGACACGCGCGTCGCGATCACCATGACGAGTACGGTCATGGCTATATATATCCTCTTCATTTGTCATGGCGGCCGCGCCTGGCCCACGAGTAGCTCACTTGCCAGAATGAGGCCGGCCGCCCGATGTATACGAATTAGTTCGTCGGACAGCTTCGTTGGACTCTGGATCATTACTTGAAGTGACTCATGAGCCGGTACTAAGTTTATGTCCGATCAGCGTGACGATGCGCAACGGTCCCATGGTACCTAGCTCTCAGTACATATACGAGCTTGATGTCATCATGTTTATCCCACTGAGCCGGGCATGGCATGCGCGGGCCCAAAATCTGTTCAACTTTACTGGCAGTCCGGCCGCTTCTGAATGGCGGCCGGAAAGATGTTTGATCCAAATAAGTGCATGATTGCCGGATCTAGGCCACTTTTGGCTAGATCATCCGACGCTCGTGGTTGGGCGTGGCATGTGGAGTCAGTGACGGAGCCACATGAACCACTACTTCATCCTGAGTGAGTACATGGGGGAGGTAAGCAACGGCGGCCGTGGCAGAGTATTGACCAAACACAGCGCCAAGGGGATCCGCTCAGATTTAAGACTTTTGTTTGCCACTTTATCGGCCAAATCCAGGCGCGTTATCGTCCGGTATAGCTAGCCTTGGACATTTGACTTCAAAAGGAAAAATTTGTGTGTCGAATACTGGACTTCGCCTCGGATCCTCTGATGCTTTCAATCTACCTGATTGGGTATACTCCTTCCAAAGCCGCCCTTCGCTAAGATCCGTTTTACCCGCACTCCTGGAGGCCGCTGCTTAAGCTCCTGCAGCTGAACGAGTCTCTCGACCTTGGCCCTCCTTCTCCTAGCTAGCAAGACCCAGACCCGTCGCTCAGGGATTTTAGTGACCGCCCGACCTGCTGACGTCACTGCTGACGTCGCAAGCAACAAGACCGGCGGCAGGGAGTGCCTGAAAAGGGTGAGCGAAGAATGAGAAGGGTTCAGTCTTGGTCCGCTCTGTTAGGATTGCAGCTCAGAGGAACTGCCTTTCTTTCAGAGGCGTCAACGGAAGGGACAAGGTGGCTACCGGTCGAAAGCGACAAGAGATTCGTTCAAAGATGACAACTTCAATGCCTTCAATCTTGGTAAATCCCAAACGGGCAATTGAACTGGCTGCATCGTTCGCTCCGTCCATTTCCTTACTGAACGAACTAGTTACGGCAGAAAGCTAAAGCTAGGTTGCTCTGATTTGAGGCAAATCTTCGGCACTTCCCATGCATCGAGATGAAAAATGAACGTACAAGGTAAGCAACAATCACAACCTCAGCTTCAACAACTTTGCCTTCTACGCCAGTGGCCCAACTTCAAATAGACTGACTCACCGCGCACGGCATCATGACGATCGCACCTCCGCACTCCTCACATCCTGCTCCCTTCCCCTTGCACCGCTTCCTCGCTCGCTTGCACCTCTTCGCTCGCAGCCCCCTTCCCATTCAGTCCCGCCTCCCCACTTTGTCCCCGCTCCTTGCTTTCGCCCCGCACCCCATTCTCGGCTCCCTCGCTCATTCCCGCTTCCCCACCTTTGTCCCCCTCCCAACTCCCGGCTCCATCCCCGCTTCCCGCCCCTTCTGCCTCCCCGGCTGAGGGCCCGTTCCCTTCAGTTTCCGTGTTCAAACTCCCCGCCGCTAATTCTCTCAGCCCGGAGTCCTCTCCCTCCTGGATCTCCGCGTCCGGCAGACTCGCCAGCGTCCGCAGCGTCTCCAGGCACTCCGGCACCGCAGCGATCCCCCGCCGAATCTCCTTGTCCTCCGCAAAAATGATCAGGGCCTCCAGAGCCACTTCCCGCATCCAGTGCTGTTTCAGGAGCTCCACCAAGCTCTGCAGCGCCCCGGGGATCCCCGCGATCTTTCTCCGAACCGCCGGATCTTCTGCCAGGTCGATGAGCAGCCACGTGGCGGATTCTGGCAACTCAGTAGCCAGGACGCGCACCAGCCTTTCGAGGCTCCCCGGAATGGAAAGAAAGGTCTCCCGGTTCTTCGCATCCGCCTTCAGAACCCTTTGCAGCATGTTTGCGGCGATGTCCAGCGTCGAACGCGTCCGGGTCGAGGAAGCCAACAAGCGTTTGCACAAGGCCCGGCTCTCCAAAGATGACCGTCCGCATCTGACGATCTTCAGACAATGCACGAAGCGCCTTCAGGCCCCACTCCGCGACGAAACTCTTGCCGGATTTCAGCAGGCCGGACAGCTGCTCCAAGCATCCCGGCGCAGCCGCAATGGCACGCGTCTTCTCCTCGTTACATTGGCCCTCCTCAGCATCAAAGCACAGGTTGTGCAGGATTCTGGCCGAAAGGGCGCGCTGGACTCCGGTGCACTTCTCGCCTAGGAGGCCTATCAACTCCTGCAGAACCCCAGACCGTTCCCAGAAAGCGCCTTGGTTCCCCGTGAAACACGCAGTACACCACAGCGCCTCGCCGGCTGCACTCTGCACGTATTCCCCGGGACCCTTGAAGAGGCGGAAGAGCTTTTGCAGACACCCGGGTGCGGCGCCGATAAGGGGCCGGCACTCGAGATCCCACGCCAACCTGTGCAACACCAACGCCGCCGATCTCTGCGCCCCATCTGAACCCCCGATGCCCAAAACGACCACCAGCTGCTCTATGGCCCCCGGTTCCTCCGCGATTGCCTTCCGGATTCCGGCGTGTCCAGCCAATTGGGAGAAGACTTCGGCGGCCACCTCAAGTGCGCAAGCGGCCCGATCCGCTTTTCAGGAGTTTGACCAGCCTCTTGAGGCATCCCGGCGTGCTCGCTATGCGCTTGCCCGTCTCCAAGTCCCCTGCGATGCTCTGTAGAACCCCTGCGGCTGTTAGGATTACTGCTTCAGACGGTTGCTTATCTAACTTGTCCACCAACACAGGCACCAAGTCAGGCACCTTGAGAAGCTCCTTGCCGACGGCTTCTTCGGCCCCCACAACCCGCAGCGCCTCCAACACGAGCCAGCGAGGTGCACCCCTGTGCTTCAAAATCGTCGTCAGCCCCTGCAAGAACCCTGGCGCCCTCGCCACCGCCTGCCGGGATGTTGCATCCCGTGTCAGTGCCGCCATCAGCGTGACAACCCGCTGCTGCACGAAGCCGCTTTTGCTGGTCATATGGCTCACCAACACATGAAGCGCTCCAGCATCCACCGCAACAGCCCTCCGCACTTCAGCGTCATCTTTTGCAAGTAACCCCAGCACGTCTGCCGCCTTCTCTAGCACGTCGT